GGCGCAGAGGAGATTTACGAGGATGGTACCAGAATGAGAGACTTTGATTATGAGGAAAGGCTGGAGAGGCCGGAATTATTCTCATTGGAGCAGAGAAGGTTACGAGGAGACCTAATAGAGGTCTTCAAAATCATGAGGGGATTTGATAGGTTAGAAAGGGAAAAACTGTTCCCACTGGTGGGTGTTTCGGTGACTCGAGGTCACAGATTCAAAATAGTCTCTAAAAGAAGCCGAGGGGAGGTGAGAAGAAATGTTTTCACGCAGCGAGTTGTTCGAATCTGGAACTCATTGCCTGAAAGGGCGGTCGAGGCCGATGCGATAACAACTTTTAAAAACGTGGTGGACGGGTATTTGAGGAGGACGGGTTTGCAGGTTATGGGGAAAGGGCTGGGGAGTGGGATTGGCATTACATTGCTCTTTTCAAAGAGCCGCACAGACTCAATGGGCTGAACGGCCTCGTTTTGTTCTGTACGATTCTGACTCCTTTTGTGAGGACTCAGTGGGAGGCTCCTTTAATATATTTTTTCTCACAGTCTCACTCTCGGTCTCTTTCTCTCAGGCTCTCTCTTTTTTGCTCAGTCTCTCTCTCTCTCTCGCAGTCTCTCTTTCCCAATCTCTCTCAGTCTCCCTCTCTGACTTTCTTTCAGTCTCTCTCGCTATCTCTGTCTCTCTCAATCTCTCTCTCTCAGTCTCTCTCACTATCTCAGTCCCTCTCTCTCAGTCTCTCTCCCTGTCTGTCCCATATGGGAGGACTCTACCTCCCATGACAATCAGAAAAACTGCTATATATTTGTTGCAGAATATCAATGTATCTCTCTGAACTGTGTGTGCTTTCCTCTGTTGCTATGTAGTTGCAGAATACAATGCATACCTCATATTTTAGGGCTTAATTAAAGCATTTTTTAATATAACTCATTAACAATAGGAGATCCCCCCCAAAAAAAACACTGCCAGGTACAAGACATTTCCGATACACAGACACACATAGACAAACAGACATTTTGTCTTTATTAGTATAGATAGTCCTTATATTTGATATAGTGCCTTATCACATCATTGATACACGTCTCAAAGCGCTTCACAGAATACACTGTAAAGTGAATCGACTGTATATTTTATGGGCAAAACACGGCAGCCAATTGCACACAGCCGTATCCCACGAACAGTTTTTTTTAAAAAGAGGAACAGGCAGATACTTGGGTAGTAGAGATATTCAGGGATATAGTGAAAGGGCAAGGCATTAGGATTAAAAAATCTTCTAAAATTTAATAAACTAGTAGAGCAGACTCGATGGGTTGAATGGCCTCCTCCTGCTTTCCTGTTTTCTTGCCTTTGTGCATTGGTTGCTTTCAAACTACAGCTATGCTGAAAAACCTAATGGCTTAATATGATACTTAAAGAATCATCCAGTGCACCATCAACCTGTGAACATGATCCACTGTATTTTGGTCTGTCCCACTTTGATTGTTGGACCTGGATGCAGGTAAATTCCAGAACTTCCTTCAGACCACAGCCTGGCAGTGTGGCCTACAGAAGTGAACAGAATACATTAGAAGCATTTACTCATTGAAACAACAACAATTTGCACTTATATAGCGCCCTCCACGCAGGATAGCGTCTCAGAGTGCGGAGCCTGAATCCCAGCCAGGTGGTGGGTGGTGGCACGGTCAAAGAGGAAAGTTTTCAGGCGGGACATGACAGAGGGGAGTGAGGGGCATGGCGGAAGGAATGAGGGAGAGTGTTCCAGAGTTTCAGGGCATAGTGGCTGAAAGCGCAACCTCTGATGGTGAGGCAGAGGGTGCGAGGGACGACCGGTGCCAGTCGAGTGGAGGTGTTGTGTGGTAGAATGGGGGTTGAGCGGGCCAGAGTGGTAGGGAGGTACCAGAGAGTGAACGGATTTGAACACAAGTGTGAGGATCTTGAGATCATTCTGTTCGATGATGCGGAGCCCTGCTAGAACTGGTGAGGTGTGGGTACGGAGTTTGGTCCAGGTAAGTTTGCGGTTGGCAGAGTTCTAAATGAACTGGACTAAGAGAAAATTGTCCAAAGTGTGGTCTGTTTACTGGGTGATTGCCAGTGATAGACTGACACATCATCAATTTCCCACGTTGTACATAGCCCATATCTACAGGGCATACGTCAATCGAGCCAAGCGCAACAAACCAGAGTGATACAACACAAAGGGCAAGTGAACACAGGACAATGAAACTGAAGGCATACAGGGTAAAATGCGTAGGTGGAATTAACAGAACTAGTGCTGCCAGGGTCAATAGCTTATGAACATTGAAGTGATTTCATTGGGGACATTTGGCATTCTGGGACTCTCCAATCCAGTATTGGGAGAGTGCTGAATGAGACATTAAACCAAGGTCCCATTTACCTGGTCAGATGGATGTTAAAGATCCCATGACACTAATTGAAAAGAGAAGAGAGCTTCTCCCAGTATCTTGGCCAACAGGATTCTAAAATAAATTGGTCATTTACCTCCTGGCTTTTTGTGCCGTGCAAAAATTGGTTGCCACATTCACCAACAAATACAAAGTCACTGCACTTAAAAATGGTAGAGATTTCAGCCATTTTGATATTATATATGCTGTCTGAAACGCAAGATTTATTATTATTATTATAGGTAACCATTCATTGTTAATATATTCAGTAACACCTTATGCTTTGAAGATATTCCACTGCTGCAGTCTGGGAACCAGCATAAATGGGAATGCTATTAGCTTACAAAGGCTTATCACAGGAAAGAACTCTCAGTTAGGCTAAGGTATCCTCACAGTCATATCAGAGGAAATGTACGGACTGGAGCCAACCAACCTTCCAGAGCTATAATGAAATTAATAATAATTCTACATTTTGGTTGATTATTCTTACACTAAATATTGGGTGGAACTGAGATGAGAAAAAAAATGTTCTCAAAAAAAGTGATAAGAATCTGGAACACACGATCCCAGAAAGCCAGAGATTATCAACTGAACTATAGTATTTAAGATCGAGAGACTTTCAGATAACCCACAAAGCACATAGTCACCGTACCTTACAGCATATAATAATAATAATTTGATATAGCACCTTATCACGTCTTTGAGACGTCTCAAAGCGGTTCACAGAATATACTGTAAAATAAATGACTAGATTTTGTGAGCAAAACGTCAATTGTGCACAGCAGTGTCCCACAAACAGTTATGGATTGAAGTGACCAATGTATTATTATTATTTTTTTGAAGGAATTATTACCCCGGAAAAGTGATCAGCCAATCGACTACCCACCGGGTTCCTACTTACTGCTAGGTAAACAGAGACAGGTGGAGTAAGGAAACGTGTACAACCCTTCGCCCTGCTGGGAATCGAACCCCAGTCTCTCGCTTGCAAGGCAAGCGCTCTAATCACTGAGCTACAGGAATCCATATGCTGTGTAAGCTTTAAGATCTTCTCTCGACGTGAGGCACCATGTCAAATGCAAGGATTATTATTAGATATTTAAGAGGCAGAATGTTTAGGTATATGGGGGGGCGGGGGGGGGGGGAGGGGGAGTTTGAGTATGTGGCCTTAAAAAGGTCTGTGGCAGAGCTTGCTCGATGAACCAAATGGCCTCCTGATTGTTCCTAATTTCGCCTTCAAAATATATATCATTAGACATTACAGGAAATCCAGTGAAACACTTTGAGACGTCCTCCCAATCTGAAAAACATTATATTAAATCCAAGAAGGAATTATTATTAAATCCTTATTCTCCTAAATACCATCCGAAATTGCCTTTTACAATACTCAGTCTATTCTGTGCCCGAGTGCAGTTAGAAGCAAAGGAAAGCAATGCAGAAAGCTTTAAATATTTACCTTTGTTGCTGATTGCAGCCAAAGTCCATGTCTAGCAAAAAAAACTAATACTTTAAATACCTCGCTGCCAGTCAGCAATTTTGTGGTTCAGTAGATTTCATCCATTAAATGATTCTTTATCTTCTCCTTCACCACTTCAAATGGGCTGATATTCCATACAGCACAATGAACACAGGCACCATTTAACTGCTTAAGGACTGCACAAGATTTCCTGCACCAAAATCAAATGTTTCTATTCAAATGTGACTCCAAAAGAAAGATACTTTAATTTAGGCATCAGGATGAAGCAAAGATTGGAGCACCACCTTCCTACAGCTCAGAATGAAGAGATATGGGTTACAATTCCTCCATCCCACCACATTTCCAGTCTCCACTATGTTGCACAAGAAGTGCTGAGCAGAGAATAGAGCCCATTTACAACCAGTGACCTTACAGAGTTGTAAGTCTTTTGTCCACCCCTTTAAGCTCAGCTCTCCAATGAGTACAATATTCGTGTGGGATCTCAGTATATCAGTACCGAAGAATATAAATATTCTTCAAGGAAGAGAATGATTTCTCTTGTGCTGCTGTGTCAAGACAATGACCAGGGAAGGGGAATATTAGCAGAGAAAGAACAAAATTAAATAGTGAACCTGAGAATATTCTAGTAGCTTTGCTTGTTTACTTTCTGAAGATCAAGTTGACAATTGGTGCTTTGAAATGATGTAGTTAATTCCTACTTTGTGTAATTCCAAAACCCAGAATGTCCATATGAATTGATTAATATCATAAACCGCTTTGTAACAGATTATTTTAAAAGTTCTACTCCGTTTCCTCAAATAAGGTGGAGCAAATGTCTATGGATCCCCAAAGGGAGGTTAAGTCTCCCCCCCCCCCCATTTTAAATGGGGGCAAAATGGGCGAGACTTAACCTCCTGTTTGTGATCCATAGCCAGGCAATGGGATCTCATCAAGTTTGTGCTGTATATCTGTGGTGTCAAAGAGGGCATTGTGCTAGCATGCACTCTTTTTGGCTACAGAGCAGCTAAATATTACCACATGGATGCACTGAGTAAACACTATTGATTCTCTCCTTCTCGTGTGCCAGATGTTTACCTTTCAGCTTTTCTGCTGACCTTATTCTGGCTGCCTGCCATTCAGTCATCAAGACAGTTCACTGGTCAGTGGTGAGTGAAAGGTTTCAGTTACACCACTAAATAGACGTAGGGAATATTGTCCTGGTTAACTTAGCGTGAAGACCATTTCGTGAAGAGCTATTCAGAGCTTTCAGATAGAACATCTTAATCCTGCACCTATTTGACTTCCTCAATTGCATTAGCTGATTTGAAAACAAGATCACTCTTTTTATAGAAAATGTTTCAGAACAAAATGAACAAGTCTGTAGGTAAGAGGATTTGGGGGGAGCATTTATTCACAATGAGTTGCTGCGTTTTTTGTGATTTGCTATGTGTGTCAATATTTTCAGTCATAATTTTATGCTATTTATCTAAGATAAAGATTCTTCAGTGAGGTTGGCTTGCAAGGTTTTGTGCGTTTAAAATGAGAAATAAACTCAAGAAATTTTAAATCGTTTAAATGTTTGACTGAAACAATAAGACAAGTCTTATCTGGCTATATCTATTAAACATCACAATTATGAGCAACTGTTAATAGGAGTTAAAGGGAGGGGAAAGGAGCCTAATGTCACCCTCCCCTTCAAATGGAGTTAGTTCTATGATTGTGGTATTGAGTCTATTTCACAATAATGCCACTCAATACCATTACCATTCATCTTGTTTGCCCTGAGTGTCAGTCTAGCTCAAGTGGTAGCAGTCTCCCAGCTCAGTCAGAAGGTAATGGGTTCAAGTCTCACATCAGGTATTGTAAACTCTGTCCAGGCTGACACTCCAATACTGGGAGATTGCTGATCATTGGAGGTACTAAATGATTAAATAATTCAACTAAAAATGAATATTAATTCAAAGCCCCACGTCGGGACTTTGAATCACATGGTCTAAGATGACACTCCAATACAGTGCATTGTCGGAGATGCCATCCTTATATGAGACGTTAAACCAAGGTCCCATCTGCTAGTTCAGGCTGATGCTAAAGATCCCAAGGCACTATTCAAAATGAGAAGGAAGTTCCTCTTCCCTGGTATCCTAGCCAACAATCCCCCAAATAAAATTGGTCACTAACTCCTTGGATTTTTATTTTTATACAGCACAGAAGGAAACCATTCGGCCCATCCTACCTGTGCCGGCTGTTTTAAAAGAATTATCCAAATCAATCCATCTCCCCTGATCTCTCCCCATAACCCTACAAATTTGTCCTCCCCAAATAATTATCTACTCCACTCTTAAAATTTGTTATCGAATCAACTTCCACCATCCTTTCAGGCAATGCATTCCAGAACTGAACAACTCGCTGTGTGAAAAAAAATCTCCCATCCCATCCAGAATGGGTGAATTATCTACCTTGAGATAGAGGTAGATAAATCACCCGTCTAATCCCTCTTTTTTCTGGACTACTTCTTATATTTGTCTCTCCCAGTCCTCTATGTAACTTGTTTGTCTTTGATACTGCATCTTATTCCCTTCCCCTCTCAAAATTAGTTTAAACACTTCTCCACAGTGCTAGTTAACCTCCCTGTGAGGACATTGATCCCACCCTGTTCAGGTGTAACCCATCCACCTTGTACAGGTCCCACCTGCCCCAGAACTAGTCCCGATGATCCAAGAACCTGAAGCCCTCCTTTCTGCATTATTTCTCCAGCCATGTGTTTGATCCTACTGTTTTGATACCACTTGCATGAGGCACTGGGAGTAATCCGGAGATCATCACCTTTGAGATCCTACTCTTTAGCTTTTTCCCAAGCTTCTGATACTCTCCCTCTAAGATCTCAGCCCTTTTATTTCCTTTGTCATGGATCCCAACATGGACCATTACTTCTGGATGTTCCCCTTCCCCCTGTAGAATGTTTTGCACCCCTTCCGTGATGTCTTCAAGCCTGGCACCAGGGAGGCAACATACCATGTGAGAGCCAATTCTTTGGTTGCAGAAACGCCTGTCTACTCCTTTCACCATTGTGTCCCCAATGACAATTGCATTGACACTCTTCCCTGTGTCCCCCTGTGCATCCATTGGCTTTTGACTCCTCTCTCCAGAGGTGTCATCACCCTGACCGGTCTACAGTAGAGAAAACCGGTTTGTGAATGCCACACACTCAGGGGATTTCTGCACTGCCCGTCCCCTCTTCCTACCATGCCGGGTGGTCACCCACTCATTCCCCTTCTGAACCCTCAGTGGCTGTGGGGTGACCACACCCTGAAATATTTGATCCATGAATACTTCAGCCTCCTGTATGCAATGTAATGACTCCAGCCTCTCCTCAAGCTCAGAAACCCTGAGCTCAAGCTCAAGCAGCCCGAGGCAATTCCTACATACATGTCTGTCCAGGGTACACAAAGCATCCTGGAGTTCCCACATGACACACATTGTGCATGCAACCGGTCTCAGCTGCCCTGCCATATTCCCACACACGTTTTATATTAAATTAATGTAATTATTATATATTTTATAATTCTGCACCTCTTTCCCCCTCTGCACCAAATTCCCATTCTCACCAAATTCCTTAACAGAATTCTCACTTTTTTCCACCTCACTCAGTTCCCTCCTCACACTGTAGGCTCTCTGCTCAAGTTTGTGGGACATTGCTGTAGACAATTGTTGCTGTGTTTCACCCACAAAATTCACAGTCAATCCACTTGACAGTATATCCTTTGAAGCGCTTTGAGATGTCTCAATGGTGTGATAAGGCGCCATATCAAATGTAAGGATTATTATTACTATATATTCTCTAATTTAATTTTGTGTTTTTTTTAAGAATTTCCTCTTGGACTGATTATTCTCTTGCTGCGGTTCTGCTTGCTGTTAGGAACAGGATCACAGTTGTTGGAAGCGGCAATGGGATCAGAGGAAGGGTCAGACAGCTACAAATGCCCACGTGTATGCACATGTATCTTTGATGACTATAGCGAAGAACTGAATGTTTACTGCAGCTCTCGTAATTTTACTAAAATCCCTGAAGGCACACCGGTTAATGCTAAAGCCCTTTGGTTGGATTGCAACAACTTCACGATGCTTCAACCCTATGCTTTCAAAAACATGTCTAACCTGGACTTCTTGAACTTGCAGAATGGTTTTATAGTTAGTATTGACCAACACGCCTTCTATGGCCTGAAACAATTGGTCCATCTGCATCTGCAAAGAAACAAGTTGAAATATCTGTCACCAAACACATTTCTCCATACTCCATACCTTGGCTCACTTAGTCTAAACAATAACAACTTTGGAAAAATTGAGAATGGGTTGTTTTTTGGCCTCTCCCACCTCTGGTACCTGAATCTTGGATGGAATGTGCTGGCAGTCTTGCCTGACACAGGATTTCATGGTCTACTCTGCCTGAAGGAGCTTATTTTAGCAGGGAACAGGTTAGTGTATCTGCAGCCACAACTTTTTATCAATTTGATAGAGCTAAAGGAACTTGACTTGTCTGCCAACTTGTTGAAAGTCATAAAGGGCAACATCTTTGTCAAACTGCAGAAGCTGCAGAAGCTTTATATGAGTTATAATCAAATCAGCACCATTGCACCAAGAGCTTTTATGGGAATGAAATCTCTCAGATGGCTGGACTTGTCCCACAATCGTCTCACTGTGTTACATGAAGAAACGTTCTCTGGCCTCCTCAACCTCCATGTACTTCGGCTACTGAACAATTCCATAACAGGGTTAAGGCACAGAACATTCAGGGACCTTCAGTTCCTGGAGGAACTTCAAGTGGGCTACAACAAGATGAAAAGACTTTCTGAAAACATATTTGATGGCTTGGTACAATTGGAAGTCCTCACTTTGAACAATAATCAGATTCAGGAGATCAAGCCCGGGGCGTTTGCTGGCCTTCGTGACGTAGCCGTCATGAACCTGTCCAGTAACTTATTGAAGAATTTACCTGAACATGTCTTCAAAGGCCTTTCTAATCTTCATAGCCTGCACTTGGAAAACAACTCAATCACAGGAATCCAGCTGAGCACATTTTCAGAATTGACTGACCTTCGAAGACTTTTTTTGCAACACAATCACATTTCAGTTATTGATACTCAGAGGCACAATGGCTTGCAAGAGCTTTTGGAGTTGGATTTGAGGCATAACAAATTAACGCAGTTGTCTCCTCAGGCTTTCTTGGGTTTCCCACAACTGGAGTACCTTTTGCTCAAACGCAACCAACTTGCCTACATCTCGGTGGACGCCTTTCAGCCCCTGCAGCGCCTCTCTTGGCTTGACATATCAGAAAACTTCATTGAGTATTTCTACAATTACACTTTCAGACCACTAACCAAGCTAAAGTATCTGAACCTAAAGAACAACTCATTACAGGAATTCCCGGGTCATTTTCTGACCCAGCTGTCACAGCTGGAGCAGCTGTGGTTAGGAGGCAATAAGTGGCACTGTGACTGTACGTTGAAGTCGCTCAGGGACTATTGCCTGGCAAACCCCAGCATCGTTCCTCGTTTCATCGAATCACCTGTAGAAGGAGATGAAGCTCACACCATGATGTACATATACAACAATATTACGTGTACAAACTTGCAAACTGTTGCTGGCACAGATCTCAGAGACATCAGCGATGACTATTTCAGCAACTGTTAACATGCAAGTGTTCCTGAAACAATCTGAGAAAATAATTCAAAGACTTTGCCCTAACCATGTCAAGCAGATGGCATTTGTATGTAAAATTAATCCCGATTGTTACCTAATGAAACCCAAGTCCTTCTGTATACAGAATCTTTCAGATTAGGATTTAATGCCTCTGAGGTAATTTGTCAATAAGATATTTCATCCTGATTTAAATGAAAAAAATCTATGAATACGATCCTATGTGTAAATGAAATTTGGCTGTTCGTGTTTACAATATCAAGGACCACAGAACATAAGATACTTTATAAATTTAGTTAAAGCCGTGTACATTTTGTGAGGTTACCATGTAAATCAGAAATGATCAATGTTAACATTGTATCCTGTTAAGAGATTGGACCTCTGGTGGTGAGGGATAACTTCACAAGGATCTTTAATAGTTTACATAATAAATCGCATTACTTATTTTATATCCATTGTGCTGTTTACTATGAAAGTTCACAAATTTTTTTTGTCTTGAAAACATAATCTATCAGTTCACAATTTGAGGCCTTCATTTTTTCCGGCAGAATAAGGCGTTAAATAACTAAACGCTTCCCCATTTAAAAGGAACATGCAATACGGTTTGTTTCTATAACAAATTGAAGCTCCAAAATAAAAGTGAGTAGAGCTAGAAATACAGCTCAAAATGCAGCGGGGGAGGGGGTAAGGCTGAAATGATAGGAGTTCAATCACTCTGACTGAAGGCAACAATTTCAACATTCCACTGTTACTAATGGGTTAAGTGATGCTGAATGAATTCTGTTGATCAGATATTGTACTCTACTGAACTGCATTAAAAACCATGGCAGTTATTCCAATCACGTTTTTGGGGTCTGACACAGGCAGAAATCCAGCTCAATCCTTAGGAATATCCAAACAGCATTCTACATACTCACAACACCTACAAATGGACATTTCAGTTGAAATGAATGAATAAATAAATAATAATAATCCTTACCCATGATTTGGCCATTTTATAACACAAGCTGACTTTATTGAGTCTGCAATTGAAGGGGTTAAATTCAGAACGAATCTACACAAACACTGTTTGAGTGTGCGAACAGTGAACCTGTGGAACAGGCTCCCTAGGGAGACGGTTGAAGCAGGAAGTGTTGATTCTTTCAAACAGTTTAGATAGTTTTCTTTTAGGAAATAACATTATGGGATATAGTACAGAGGTAGTTCGGGATATATGTGCATGCAACTGCCAGGAAGGTGGAAGGCAAACTAGATGGACGTTGATCTTTTTTATCTAGCATTTCTTATGTTCTTTTATTCATACTCTGAGTAAGATGTTACAATGCTAGTTGGGATTTTATAGTTATAACACAACTAGTGTTCTACTGTAATAACTAGGGAAACCCAACAAGTTTTCCTTGTTATTCAGAAAGCTGTTTTTGATCATTTCTGAAGGAATCTGTCCCAAGAATAGCCTTCTTGTTTTCAACATACTTCTCTTACATAACTTCCATCACAAACATCACATTTCACCATTAGGTTCCTTTGCGTGCAAACAGCATTAAAGACTGGTTGGAACAAAATTGCTTGCGGAAAAGAGAAAATGGGATGGTGCTTCCAAAAAGAAAAAATATTAATCTAGTACAATTTCAGCATAGACAAAATTTGGGGTTTTCTCAAAGCTGCAGAATTTCACTTTCAACAAACATTCAGCAGACAAATCCAAATGTTGTGTAACATTGTCAAATGCTGGCCGGCCCTAGAATAGAATAAGAATCCATAGATTCTTTCCTTTTTGAACTTTTATCAGACTTTGCCAAAAAAACACAAAAGCGGCTCATTTAATATAATTATTGGTACCCGGAATTTTTTGTTAAATTTTTTTAAAGTTACCATCAGATTGCTTAAAACAGTCTCATATTACAAGCCACATCAGGATAACCCAGTAACTCCAGTCATAGTGCTTGAATCCTAACCTGGAGGCTTGTGGCATTTTAAATCCCAACAACTCCTGACACTGAGTGGGTCAGTTTGTGAAGCTGGATGGACAAGGGTTTTTTCCATCTCTGGGAGCAGTACTATTATTATAATACCTTCATTTACCTTTATTGAATCATCTTAAAGCGCTTCTTGGAATTTTACTTTAAGGTGTTGTGATTGCTATTTATGAATATTAGAGAAGCCTTATCCAGGCATACCTCCATGGTCAGAACTCAGCAAAACTGAGGTACACAAGGGTAGTGGAGGGGGAGAATGTCTTGAAAGATTTTGCAATTGTCTGGTGAAACCCCCACTTCACTACAACAACTATGGTTAGACACCATCTCCCAGCCTTATAACCTCCACCATCCAGAACAAGAGTAGCACTGCCTCTCCCAGTCACTCATCATCCTGACTTATATCACCACTCTATCATTGCTGGGTTAGAGTGCTGAAACTACCCGTTCAATATCATTGTGGGTGTGCCATTGCCACAAGCTGCTCACCACCAGCTTCTCACAGCACATTGGGACATCCTCCTGATATGAATGGCACCAAATAAATGCAATTTGTTGGTGTTGAAACTAGGGATGGACTTTCCAGGTCATCTACTCAGTTATGACAAAACAATTGGTGCTAAGTCCATTGTATTTTGCATCATGACAGATAACATAACTTCTCTGCAGCAATACCTGGAAAATATTGGATTCCAATAATAATCTTGATTTATAAAGCTCAAACACCTGTTGTACAAGTATTCACAAAATAGCTTTCAGTAGAAAACATTTTTATTGTATACTTGAACAAGTACATCAAAAGGCATAATTGGTCCAGATTTTCCAATTCTTTCTATTTCTGCAAACTACGCGTTAGACCTTCTAAACTGGCTTGTTTCTGTGTTTCAGCAGTCTTTTACACCTCTTCTTCTGTTTACAAGAGTCCAATACGAATATACAGAGAGTGCTCTCACGTATCAAGCGCAGAAGGTTTACCAACATCGTTTAAAACCTTCTGTGCTATATTACTGATGGCATCAAAGGTTGCACTCTCTGGAAAAGCTTGAATGAAGTCTCTTCCTTCCTCCAGACTACGAGTCAGCTGAGGATCTAAAGGAACACGGCCTGGATAGGAGAGAACACAAAACATGATGACTCCAGAACCAAGTTACCACATATACACGGATTCACTCAATAACTTACTGGGGTCTTCATAAGTGCGGGTAGACTAAAAACAAGACTGCCACAGGTGGGAGACATAACGGAATGAATCAAAAAAAGCTACCGCTCCGACTCCCCTCTTTCAAGGCTAATCTCAAAACGCACATCTTTGATCACGCTTTCGATCATCTTTCCCCTTGCCAACCCCTCGGCTCCCACCCCCAGCTCAGGTAACCAGGCAGTCCTACGAATGTGCTTTGGGACATCCTCCCAAAGTGAAAGGTGCTGTATAAATGTAAACTGTAATGGACTTATATTTCAAAAAACAGACTTTTAAGTTCCTACATTGGCTCGGTTCTATGAAAGGTTAATTAAGCAAACTGGAATAACCAAAAAGATTTTTACAAAATCCTGTTGACTTAAAGATGCTCACCTAAAAATGGAACTCCAGATTCCTGTGCCAGCGCTTCTCCTCCGCCTGTAGAAAACACATTGGTGCATTCCTGAAAAGAAACATTTATTGAAGTCAAAATGTACCACCATAATACAATTCCTTGCATTTGATATAGTGCCTTGCTTGTCAGGAGCGCCCCACAGGATTTACTATAAATTGTAGAAGCTGTGTACTTTTGTTGGTGCAAACAGCAGACACCAACGCTCCATAAACAGCCATCAAGTGAATGACAAATTTTATCCGGGGATTGTTGGCCAGGGAGAAACTACTTTCTCTTTTTGAATAGTACAGTAAGATCTTTAATGTCCTCTGAACAAGCCAACGAGACCTCGGTTTAACATCTCCTTTGACAATGCAGCATTTTTTCCAGCACTGTATTGAACTATTAGCCTTGACTGTGAGTTCAAAATCCCAACATAGGTCTTGAACTCACAAACTTCTGACTCAAAGACGAGAGTATTAGCAACTGAGCCAAACTGACAACTCACAAATCCTTTCGGAGTAGGTTTACTACAGACTCATACACACCCACGTGATTCCCAGGTTGAGAAGAAAGTGGAAGGTGAGCTGCTATGACTTGTCAACGAGCATTGCTCTTGACTGTTTGTATATAGCAGAGAACAATCATGTGACCATTTTTTTTTGCTTTCTCCTTCCTTACGATAAAGTACTCAACGGCATGATCAAGACTGGAAACTCATTGTATGGAGATCTGCAGCTGCCTCTCCAGAACCTCTTACTCAGTTTCTAACCCTTACAGCACTCCTCTTTTTCCAAATATACTTCAAAATACCCACTGAGTACAAGTTTTGTAAGGTTTAGATTCCTGCAAAACTGAATTTACCATTCATCTATCAGAAAGGTTTTACCATAAGCATACAGCACTTTCAATTTATTCCACTGCAAGGAAAAATAGGAAAATTATGACACTTAATTGAACTAAGATGTTCTCTCCTAGCAATGTCACTTCTGGTTAATGTTGAATGTAAAGCACATTAAACCTTTAGCATAATTAAAGCTTTTAAAGTGGATTTCACATTAATATTACAATGTTGACTGAAATCCAACTGTGATCATTTCATGAATGAAAATGTCATGTTTTTGACAAGGGAGTTGTAACACAATCGCGACACAAGAACACACACACTATACTGATGACTGACACTCACTGAACAATTAGGACAGACAAAACCGCTCATGTTTTCAATAATCCCCAGCACTGGTAGTCCAGTTTTCTTGCAGAACGTCAATTCTCGTCTTACGTCTCCTATGGACACCGCCTGTTAATAAAATCAAATTTATTATTTCTGTAGCCCAAAAACATGCCAACTCCTTAGCACTTGGAACCTCCCTCGACTTTAAAAAGAGTCCTTTTGCTATGTTGCAGGATAATATTAATTCAATATGACAGATACTGGAGAGAGATTGTGAATTTCTCCTGTTCCATGGAAGAGAATACCTATACCTACACACATACGGTATTGCAATGGGATTTTTTTTAACGTAGGTTTATGACAAGGAAATAGGTGTATTTTTAATGTAATAAACGTACATTTCCCACCACTAAAAACCCACTTCATCTAAATAATAAAACAATCTTCAATCACAGCAGCTGGAAATCAGTATCTTAATACAAGTTCAAAATATACAACAACAACAGGGCCTTGAAGGTTGAGGTGGGAGGACAAGCGGTGGAGGAGGATAGAGTGGTCGACCGTATCGAATGCAGCCGATAGGTCAAGGAGGCAGAGGGAGCCCTGGTCGCAGACGGTCAAGATGTCATTAGTGACCTTGACCAGGGCAGTTTCCGTGCTATGGGCAGCACGGAAACCCGACTGGAGGGGTTCAAATAGTGAATGGGTGGAGAGGAAAGAGCGCAGCTGGGAGGCGACGACTCTTTCGAGAACCTTGGACAGGAAGGGGAGATTGGAGATGTAACTGTTCAAATGTAACTGTTTAAATGAATTGTGGCATCTTAAGCATTAAATCAATGGGGTGAACTGGAGTTGTCATTTTCAGGTTAAACTTCTGAACACAGATTAGCAAAGACAAATGTAATTTGACTGCTTTTGTTACCTCAATGTTTTTTTTCTTGAGTGACCAATTTTTTTTGGGGGGGTTGCTTGTTTTTGTAAGGTTTTTGTAAGGTGATCTGCCAATCGACTAACAACCTTCCTACTTAATGTTAGGAGGACAGAGGAATGTGGAATAAGTAGACTCGCTTAAGATTTTGCACCCCACAGGAATTGAACCCGGGTCCTCTCGCTTGCGAGGCGAACATGTTAATAAACTCAGGCAAGAAAAAAAAACATTGAGGTAACTAAAACAAAAGCAGTCAAATTACATTTGTCTTTGCTAATCTGTGTTCAGAAGATTAACCTGAAAATGACAACTCCAGTTCACCTCATTGATTTAATACTTGAGATGCCACAGTTCATATGAACAGTGACAAACATTTCAACTCTCAAACAATATTAAAACTGAAAACGAAAACTATCAACATTAAATCTAGTGCACCAAACGTTAACCCTTTAAATTGTTACTACCTCTGAGTTTTGTGTATAATGTTTGGGGAAGGCCTGTCAAACAGCTGAATGAATTTCATGAAATCACACAATGGGTCGTGTTAACACTAGAGGGCACTCCAATCTAAACGGCAGCTTCTTACTCAAGTTCAGCACTAATCCGCAGAGGTGGAAGTGAATTCTGCAGCATGAGCTCGAAAATCATCGGCTATCAGTACTATCAAGTTACTATATCAACTATAATAATTATAATTACTAAAATAATCACTCTTGCATTTGATATAGAGCCTTATCATGTCGTTGAGACGTCTCAAAGCACTTCTCCAAATATACTGTAAAGCAGACGAAACGGGCAGCCAATTACGCACAGCAATGTCCCACAAATAGCCATGGATTGATTCAATGATCAATTTTTTTTTGAGAGATTATTACCCCCAGAAAGTATCTAGCGTTCGACTAACAACTGGGTTACTGCTTACTGCTAGACAAACAGGAGTGTGGAGCAAGGGAACTTGCCTAAGGTTTCACCCCGCCTGGGAATCGAACCCAGGTCCTCTTGCTAGCAAGTAGAGCAAACTAACCATTACGCTATGGGATTCCCTTGTCTAATCCTATGATAACATTTTGTGGTACCAAAGATGAAGAGAAACGGGGCCTTAAGAGGAATATGGTAAGTAAAATAGTAAACTAAAAGTAGGGAGGTGGTGTGTGGCTTGAGAACTGATTGTGACCATAGCTTAATGTAGATTTTCTCTCGGCCTTTGCTTCTTGTTCAGCATTTCCAATTACACCAGGTCAAAAACAAAGGACAGAACTCACATCCCCTAATTCCACAGTAACTGTCCCATCCCATTACTTATTCTAATTTGAATGAGGTTTATAAATTTACTTTAATATGAATAGATGTCTGCTGGGGACACAAAACACACCTAATTTAAATGTCTAATTTCAGGGCATTTTTTAAAAAAATGCTAATTTTGCCCTCAGTCCACCTGTGGTGTTGTAACCAGCACAGCTCCATCAGGTTTATACCGGCGAAGACTTTCCACGACTGAGATATGTTCATCAGAGGTCCCAGGCGGAGTGTCTACAATGAGATAGTCGAGCTCTCCCCATGCTACGTCGGAGATAAACTGCTTGATAAGAGCTGAAGGGAAAAAAAAACAAAAGCTTAAAATCAAATCAAAGAGAAGAATATCAGTAAATTCAGATAGAAAACAATTGCATACTTGTACACTTCAAGCTTGGCAGCCTGGATTTCTGAGTTCAATAACCAATTTTAATACTTAGCTTTTCCCAGAGAGATGCAAGTTCACTGATCATCATTGCACACGATTCAAATATATGACTATAATAACAATAATCCTTGCATTTGATACAGAACCTTATCACATGATCAAGAAGCCTCTAAGCCCTTCACAGGATATACTGTGGATTGACTGTGTATTTTGTGGATCAAACATGATAGCCAGTTTGCGTACAGCAATGTCCCATAAACATAAGTGGAGTGAGCAAACAATTCTATTTGGGGAAGATTTGTTGGCCAGGATACCGAGATAAACTCCCTTCTCTTTTTGAATAGTGCCATGTGAACAGGCAGATGGGATCTTGATTTAAAGATTCACCTGAACATTGGCATCTCCTACAATGCAACACGCCCCCAGCACTGCATTCCAGCATCATCTCAGAAGATGTGATTCCACATTCCAGCATGAACCCACACAACCTTCTGACTCTGAGGCAAGAAGGCCACTGAGCCAGGCTGGCACTTTGCAAATACAATTTAGTTTTGTATAGTGCTTTTCACATCAGGAGGATGTCTCAAAATGCTTCACACAGTTATAATAATAATCCTTGCATTTGATATAGCGCTTTTCACGTCAGGAGGACGTCTCTAAGCGCTTCACAGAACACACTGTAAAGTGAATTGACTGTATATTTGTGGGCGAACGCGGCAGCCAATTGCACACAGCAATGTCCCACAAACAGTCGTAGGTTGAAAATGACCAATTTAATTATTGTTTTTGGTTTTGGAGGGATTATTATTAGGCTCTGTGTGGAGTAAGGAAACTTGCCTATGGTTTCGCTCTGCCTGGAATTGAACTCAGGTCTCTCACTTGCAAAGCGAGTGCTCTAACCACTGAGCTACAGGACATCCAAAAGTGTGGTTGAAACGTGGTTAAGGAGGTAAGTTAAGGCAGCCTTTAAAAGTGCGGAAGGAGAGAGCAAGGAGGAGGATTCTGGGCTGGAATTCAAGAGCACAGGGGCAAAATGACAAAGCTTGGCTACCAATGGTGGGCCTGAATCAGACAGGGAACACGCAGCAGGCCGAGCGACACGCGGCAGGCCGAGCGACACGCGGCAGGCCGAGCGACACGCGGCAGGCTGAGCGACACGCGGCAGGCCGAGCGACACGCGGCAGGCTGAGCGACACGCGGCAGGCTGAGCGACACGCGGCAGGCTGAGCGACTCGCGGCAGGCTGAGCGACACGCGGCAGGCTGAGCGACACGCGGCAGGCTGAGCGACACGCGGCAGGCTGAGCGACACGCGGCAGGCTGAGCGACACGCGGCAGGCTGAGCGACACGCGGCAGGCTGAGCGACTCGCGGCAGGCTGAGCGACACGTGGCAGGCTGAGCGACACGTGGCAGGCTGAGCGACACGCGGCAGGCTGAGCGACACGCGGCAGGCTGAGCGACACGCGGCAGGCTGAGCGACACGCGGCAGGCTGAGCGACACGTGGCAGGCTGAGCGAGGAAGCGGCCGGGACAATAGGATTGCAAAATGTCACAAAAGTAGGGTGAGGCGAGGCCATTTGAACAAGGCAGTGAATTGAATTTGTCTATTGGGGGATGGGGAGCCAGTGGAACTGAGTGAGCATGGAGGTGATAGGCTCAAGGAGTCTGGTGTGGTAGAAGACACAGAGTTCTGTTTTTGTTTGCAGCTTGCATAATGAAAAGCTGGGGGGTCTGGCAAACAAGACATTGGAATAAAACAGTGTGTTTGTAATAAAGGCATGCATGAGGGTCTCAGTAACCAAAGGAGAGTTAGACGGACGATGTTGCGGAAGCAAGGGAATGCCGAGCAAGTAAAATGGAGATGTAGGTTGGTTGCAATGTTGGTTATAATAGTAATAGTTTTGAGTTTTGGCCATAAAATACACAATTACTCCAAAATGCTTTGAGACATCTCGATGGCGTGATTAGCCGCTATATCAAATGCAAGGATTATTATATTATTATTATGCTACGGGACTCCAGGTATAAGACAGTTGTGAGGACAAGCTTCTGTCAGTCCTGGATATTCGGTGCCTTCAATTCACAGCTCACGGGAAAACAGTTTGATAGTAAGGTGCCATTTTACAAAAAATCCCCAGTAAAGTGCGACTCAGACATAGAACTCAACCTGGTCCGAGGTGGATTATTAAAGGACTGTCGAACAAGGTATTGCACCGTCAACATATACTCCAGATGAAATACAGCATCTCTTTCCTAGCTCGTTTTGCAAATTAAACATTAGATTTTTAAAAAATCACAAGCCTTGAAGGACTGTAATTTCCACAAAATTAAGAAAAGGAATCCTACCTAAACATGCTTTTTAAAAATTATCTATCACACATCTGGAAAGTGTGGAAACATTTGACAGGACGTTGCTTCTTATTTTTTCAGTAACAAAGCAATGTGATCTCACCAGTTTTCTTTGGGCCTCTCCAAATCACTGCTTCATCCTGAGTTTCCAAAAGGAAGCCAATTGACATCACGGATATGGTTTTCTCTTTGTCTACATAAACCGGTACCCAGCCAGCATCACACTGGTGTACTGCACTATTCAAAGTATTCAGCATACGAGGGATGCTGGGACCACAGAGATCAATGTCCAGGATTCCAACCTATATCCAAGCAATTCTGAAATGAATTATACAAGTAACTAAAAGAAGCTAAACTTTTTCCTGCCCGGTGTCAATAATTTAACCATCAATAATAACTTAATTTTCCCAGAAAAAAAACATGAGAAAATAAACCAGCTCAGCTTTTCACACCTTATTAACCTTACGGTTGACTTATTTTTCAGGAGGCTGAAAAAACTACAAGATCTTAAAAGCGTGAATTTAAGAAATTTCCACAATGCTCTACAGTCTTAAATTTTAAGACAATACCGATATGTAGGCTAAAAATTGGGTGAAATTTCAGGCCTCTTGGCTGGAAATGTATGTTACTTTAATAAAAACATATTCCCTTCACGTTACAAACATAAAAGGAAAGTTATATATATTTTGCCATGTGCTAGATACGATTCCTATTCTTACATACATTATCTTACCTTCTTTCCTGCATTTCTTAATGCAAGTGCTAGCTCTGATGTTATGGTGCTTTTCCCAACTCCTCCTTTGCCAGACAAAACCAGAAGGATGTGGTCAACAGAAGCAAGGTTATCTTTCTCTGTGCAAGAAAACACACAGCAATCAGTTACATTCAGCAACCCAAACAGATCTGGAAAAATTCCAGGCAGAAAGTATACATGAGTTCCAACACATTATTATATATATTACATTATATATTAGTAGTAATCCTTTATGATACAGTGTTTGTCACTCAAACCCCTGTTGTGGCAGAGAACTGGTATTGCACCATTTCAATATCATACACTAAAGTATTTTAAGTACTAATGTATTGCACAGCAATGTTCTTTTCAAAGTGTCATGGGCTCTTTAATCTCCACTCCAACTGGCAGACAAAACATGAAACCGGGGTCCCATCTGTCTATTCAGGTGGAGATTAAGATCTTGTGGTACTATTCGAAAATGAAGGGAGTTTCTCTGGTGTCCTGGCCAACAGCTCCCCACCCCCGCCCCCCCCCGCCCCCGAGGAAAACAAGTAGTTATTCATGCCATAGCTGCTCATGGGGGGGTATTGCTGTATGGAAATTCCTTGCCCCATACTTTTAGAAATACAGTCACTGCACTTTGCTGTAAACCCCATAAAGAATAATGACGTTAATATCAAATGGAAGGATTATTATTGCACCAGAGAGACATCATTCAGCCTCACTGTACTAACTATTATAGTTAAAACAACAACATTACACTTGTTTGAGCGCCTTTCACGTCGGATAGACGTTCCAAGTACTGACACAGGACATGAGCCTCCGAACCCTCCGCTTCCCTTCCCCCGGAGTTACCAGGTAACTCGGTGAGTAAAACAAGAGGCGCCACCCCAGGCCCTCAGTGACAATCACAGCACAGGAGGAGGCCATTCGCCCCCCCCCCCAGGAGGAGGCCATTCGCCATGAGGAGGAGGCCATTCGCCCCCCCCCAGGAGGAGGAGGCCATTCGCCCCCCCCCCCCAGGAGGAGGAGGCCATTCGCCCCCCCCCCCCCAGGAGGAGGAGGCCATTCGCCCCCCCCCCCCCAGGAGGAGGCCATTCGCCCCCCCCCCCAGGAGGAGGAGGCCATTCGCCCCCCCCAGGAGGAGGAGGCCATTCGCCCCCCCCTCCCAGGAAGAGGAGGCCATTCGCCCTCCCCCCAGGAGGAGGCCATTCGCCCCCCCCCCCCCAGGAGGAGGCCATTCGCCCCCCCCCCCAGGAGGAGGAGGAGGCCATTCGCCCCCCCCCAGGAGGAGGAGGCCATTCGCCCCCCCCAGGAGGAGGAGGCCATTCGCCCCCCCCCCAGGAAGAGGAGGCCATTCGCCCTCCCCCCAGGAGGAGGCCATTCGCCCCCCCCCCCCAGGAGGAGGAGGAGGCCATTCGCCTCCCCCCAGGAGGAGGAGGCCATTCGCCTCCCCCCAGGAGGAGGAGGCCATTCGCCCCCCCCCCGAGGAGGAGGAGGCCATTCGCCCCCCCCCCCCAGGAGGAGGAGGCCATTCGCCTCCCCCCAGGAAGAGGAGGCCATTCGCCCCCCCAGGAGGAGGAGGCCATTCGCCCCCCCCCAGGAGGAGGAGGCCATTCGCCTCCCCCCAGGAAGAGGAGGCCATTCGCCCCCCCCCCCAGGAGGAGGCCATTCGCGCCCCCCCAGGAGGAGGCCATTCGCCCCCTTGTGCCCGTGTCGGCTCTTTGAAAGAGCGATCCAACTCGTCCCCCTCCGCTGCTCTCGCCCCGGAGCCTCGCAATATTTTTTTCTCTTTTCAAGTCGCTTTCCAATGGCCTTTTTTGGAAGTCGTGATAACTGACAGGTGTGGGCGCGGGAGGAGGTATGTCCGGGGCCCGGGAGCCGCGACACCGCACAGGGAGGGAGGGACGGAGGGACGGCCTCTGCTCCTTTCAAAAGGAACTCCGAAACCTGGCAACCGCCGGCGCCCGGATCGCTCCGGTAAAGCCGTCCCCCCCGCGCTGCACGAACCGCCAGGGCCTGCTCTGACCGCCGAAAGCAACCGGGCGAGAAGCGGCGCGGCGGCGGCGTCGCTTACCCGGCGCCGCCTCCTCCATCTTGGGCGCCTCCCGCCGACTGCGCATGCGCGGGGTGCGGGCGGCCGTCGGCCAGACCCGTTTAGTAGCCCAAACTCCCGCCCAAATCTTCCACCTTTACCCGCGGGTAGAACGGTTCACGCTTTTGAAAACTTGCGGCAAAAAAAAAAGAGAGAGAGGTCTCCAAAGGAAACAAAAAGGTTTTCATTTAATGTTTTTTTAAAGAAAAGAAAAACGTTTTTTTTAAAAAACACACACGCACACACCCGCCCGATTGGGCTCGTGCGCTCCCGCTGTCTCCGCCTCCCGCGCCACCTCTGGGAAAAGGGGGGCGGGTCCGACCCGGAGCGGCCAGAAAACCTGCTGCTGACCCGCCGCGTGATGGGCGTCGCCTCCGCTCCAATCAGCGAGCGGATCGTCCCGCCCCACCCCCCCGCCCCACCCGACGCCGTGGACGAGCAGCCAATCAGAGCCCGTGGTGGCCGGGCCAGGAGGGCGGGGATACACGTTTGGTCGAGAGGTGAGCGTGAGGGGAGACGTGTTGACGGAAAAGGCCCCCCCCCCACCCCGCCGAGCCCGGCACCGGGAGGAGCGACGGCCGCGTGCGTGCGTGGCGCGGGAGCCGCTCCACCCGCCGGTTGCCCCCCCCCCCCCCCGGGCCTCGATTAGACTGCGCAGGTGAGACGCTCGTGGGGAGTTCGCTGCGCGCGTTTGCCTGAGGGATGGACAGCGGATCCGGGCGCGGCCTCAAACTGCAGCGAAGGCCGCTCGGTCACCTCAGAAACGGCTGGGAAGCCGTTTCTGAGGTGACCGAGCGGCCTTCGCTGCAGTTGAGGCCGCGCCCGGATCCGGAGCCTTCCTGAGGCGAGCGGCCTTCGCTGCAGTTTGAGGCCGCGCCCGGATCCGGAGCCTTCCTGAGGGGAAGCCGTTTCTGAGGTGACCCGAGCGGCCTCGCTTGCAGTTTGAGGCCGCGCCCGGAGCCTTCCTGAGGGAGGTCCACCCCGCGGCTGTCCCCCCCACTCCTGTCGGGAGCGCCTTTTTTTTATATATATATATATATATTGTATAAAAAAATAAATTAAATCCACGCGACCAAACGCCCGTCCAGAAGACGGGGGGGGGGGGGGGCGGCGGGCATTTTGACGGTTGTTGCACTCGTAGAGAAAAGCGTTGGGGGGGGCGGGGGAGGGGGGGTGAGGGCGGGGGGGGGTACGCCAGGCAACGGGAAGCTTGACTTACATCATGTAAAGGGAGTAAATGTCCTGACAGATGGGGGTTGTTGTTGTTGTGACTGTTACGGGTGGGGGTGGGGCCGGGGGGGGGGTGGGGGGGGGAGACGAGCAGACAGACAGGAAAGGCATTTATTTGGATGATCCGCTTTGCTCGCAAATTAGGTTGTCAACCACGTATTTTTTTTGGTGGAGGGGCTAAGGCGGACCGTAGTTTTTAATCTGCAATTTGCGAACCCTCCAATCCGAGGATATCTGGGTTTGTCGCTGTCACACACTAATGTGTGTGTGTGTGTGTGTGTATATATATACCCAAAGAACAAGAGTTCTTCCATGCACCTCGTTTTGGGCGTGGATAAACTCTTCAAATGGCATCAGGTTTGTCAAGGTGATCTCTTACCACTTTCCAGTGACGTTCCTTGTCGCTCTGCTCCCTGACTTTACTCGGGTTTTTTTTGGCCACGGGCAAAGGTGACTTGTCTGTTCTTGAGGTGAGCCACTCATCCGTTTGTTTCCTGCTTTTAAAACCCTGTAACCAAGGAATAGGCATGCGAACCTGAATCATTCGGATTTCATTCCAAACACAGTATCTTTTAATTGTCTGTTTTTGAATCCTACTGTCCAAAGTATAATGATAATAATAATCCTTGCATTTGATATAGCGCCTTATCACATCTTCGAGACGTCGCAAAGCGTTTCACAGAATATACTGTGAAGAGAATTGACTATATTTTGTGGGTGAAAAATATAGAGTGGAAGGGAGCACCACCAGATTGGATTGGAAAGTGTGCTGAGGGTTAGATTTTATGTTTTATGTTATTAGTCATGCTCACCGGTTGTAAACACCAGTTAAATGAAGCTTGACCTTTGAAGAATCGGTCTACTGATTGAGATAGATGATTGTCTTACGTTATACGTATGTAGATTTCCAAAAATATGTGTAAATATATAGTACCTGGCTTATGGTTAGTTATAGTTGGTTAGTTATCTGCTATTAAAGCATGATAAATTAGGCTTTAAAGATATTTTGCAGTCCAGAATGTTTGTGGGATTCATGTTGCTGAACTTCGATCTTATTGTAGAGCAATTTGTCAAAAGTTTAAACGGCCTCTTTATTACCTGCTGTTCTGCCTCAATACTGTGCGCGGTTACTCAAACAAAATCCAAGAGATAAATGCAGCTTTAAGAAGAACACAGACATGAACAGGGTTGTTTGTTGATCATAAGTTTATGTACAAAATTGTGGAAAGAAAACTGTTTAGCAACAATTGCAATCCAAATACTTGAATTTAAATTACAATTTGCAAGAATGCAATTTGTTTCTCAAGCACTGCGTCAAAGATATTTAAGCCGCTGTATTTTAGTGATTGCAACCATTTATTTTTAAACTTGAAAAATATCATCCATTTGTATGTTTTGTATAAGGAGAATGGGTCGGTTAGCATGTTGCCCTTTGATTTGTGGAATATGGATTCAGATCCAAAACAGTCTGGTAATAAAACTGGTGTAAAACACAATGTCTGTTTCTCCAGAGGAAGAAAGTTGCTCTATGGTTTCTTAAAATTATAGAAGGGTGCCAATCATCCTATCAAGTCTGAGCTTGAATTTTTCTTCTGTTCATTACCCTTCAATGTTCCTCATTTTCAAGATGATGAGTATTTCATAATTAAGGGTAGAATAACAACGACAAAATTACATTTGTATAGCGCCTTTCATGTTGGGAGGTCGTCCCAAGGCGCTGGACAGACAGAGTTTCGGACCCGAGCTGGGGTTCGGGTCAGGGTGTCAGAAGGCCCGCCCGCCCGCCAATAGTGGGGCGAGCGAGGCAGGGGGCATGAAGCAGGCCGGAGTCCGCTGAGCAGAGGGAGCGAGCATGTTGGTGGGGGTTAGGAGGTTGCAGATTAGGAGGGAGCAAGACCATGGAGAGCTTTGAAGGTGAGGAACAGGATCTTGAATTGTATCCTCTGTGTGATTGGAAGTCAGTGGAGTCGGGCGAGGATGGGGGTGATAGGGTCGCGGAGCCTAGTGCGGGAGAGGACGCGGGCTGCAGAGTTCCAGATGATCTGGCGGGAGGAGTTGGGGAGGGCGACAAGCAATGAGTTTGCAGTGTCAAGCCTCGATGTAATGAAAGCATGTATGAGGGTTTTGGCGGCCTGCGGTGTGAGACAGTGGTGGAGCCGGGCAATGTTGCGGAGGTGGTGGAAAGCAGAGCGGGTTATGGCGCAGATGTGGGGTAGAAAGGATTGTTGAGGGTCNAAAAAGACCCCAAGGTTCCGGACTGGCTTAGCGAGGTGGAGCGTGCAACCATGGATGGTGATGCTGTCAGCGCCTGAGGTGAGGAAATGTTACATGCAGTACAGTATTATGGTTAGGGTGAATTGTTAGCAGAAGAGAGGTAGATTTTTCCTGCTTATTACCTGCCAGTGTGTTTTATTGACTGTAACCTTTTTTGTTTCCATGGAGGACTGACTTTGAGAGCGCATGTTTTTTTAAATGCTTCAATAATTGGGATATTATTTGTTACCCCAGGGTGCTACAGATAGACTTACAGTTTTAACTAATTTAAAAATAAAGGAAATGTGTTTAGCAGTAATAAGCCACATATTGTCATTGGCTCAGTAGGAGCACTCTCACCTCTGATTCAGTAGGTTGTGGCATCATATCCCATGTCGGGACTTGAACTCATATAGACCAAGCTCCATTGCAGTTCTGAATTGTCGGAAGTGTGTCTTTTGGATGAGACATTAAACCGTGCCTGTTTGGGTGGAGGTTAAAAATCCCATGGCACTATTCAAAAATAGAAGAGAGTTCTTCCAGTGTCCTGACCAACAATCCTTCAAATAAAATTGGTCATTCATTTCATGGTTGTTTGTGGGACACTGCGCAGAAGTCTTCCGCCATATTTGCCTACAAATACGGTCATTCCATTTCACAGTAAATCCTGTGAAGCGCTTTGAGACATCCAAAAACAAAACAATAATAAATTGGTCATTTTCAATCCACGACTGTTTGTGGGACACTACTGTGCGCAATTGGCTGCCGCGTTTCACCCACAAATATAAAGTCAATTCACTTTACTGTGAAGTGCTTTGAGACATCGAGAAAATGTGAAAAGCGCAATATCAAATGCAAGGATTATTATTATTATCCTTCTGACGCGATAAGGCACTATGCCAAATGCTCCACTATTAATATTATTATATTAGGGTGCAGATGCTGTTCCAAGTTGTGCATAGTTCCTTATATTCCTCAATATACTAAGTTTACTATACTAATCCAGATCATTTTTTCTGTTTCCTTCCCTGTGGATCAATTAGTTCACTGTAAGGTAAAAATGTAAGATATTAGTTTGCTCTCCAGTTAATAACTTGAAATGGTATAATAATATATTGATGTATCTCAGCATACAGACAGCTGTAGTATAACAATGAAATAAATTAAGCAGGTGCTGAATGGAATTTGACCTTCAATAGTTTTCTAATTCATGCCAGGAAAAGGACATGTTGCAAAAGCAATCTTTATAGTTGATATCCCTTTCCTGTATGAATATCTGGTTGAAGTAGCATAAAAAGGGAAGATCATAAAATTATGCTGAATATCATCCAGCACTGAGAACATTTATTGATGATTAAATTCATGAAGATGCACAAAATACTTTAATCTGTTGACACAGAAGCAGCTGCTTGATTCTGATGTAACAGCATTTTGAATAAAGCCTGAAGGTTTTGTTCTTCTCGGGATTGAAGCTGAAGATTCATTAGACTGGAAAGTGCGGTCCAGCAGAAAGAATGGAGCCTCAAGTCTTTAAGACTCGATGACAGACCCAGTCAGTAGCAGTAATGCTGTTAATGTGACTGCATTGTTACAAAAGCAACTAAATTGGGTTTATTATTTCAGTACCCATCAAAGAGAATAATAATCTTTGATTTTGGTATAGCGCCTTATTGCACCATTGAGACCTCTCAAAGCGCCTTGCAGGATATACTGTCAGTTGAATTGTCGTGGATTGATTGCTTGATTGATTGATTTGAAGGGATATTACCCCCAGAAAGCGATCCATCAATCGACTAAAATCCTTGCCTAAGGTTTTGCCCTGCCCGGGAATCAAATCTGGGACCTCTCGCTTGCGAGAGCTCTAGCCAATATGCTACAGGACTCCACTGGAGCATAAATTAAATAGGATCTAGGACAAGGCTCATGTCTGGTGACTTCAGTCATTTAAAGCATTGATTTAGCTTTGTACCTCTGTATTGCATATCATTTAGCATTTGTTTCCTCACTTTTCTCTTTTCCCCTCTGCTATTTGATCTATCTGATTGTTTCTTATTTTTAGACTTTTTTGCTTCAGTTACTTTAATCATATTCTTTCTTCCCTTCCACCCCTCCTTTATAATTTGTTCTTCTCTCCTGTTCCAAAAGTACTACCTTTTACTGGAATATTGTGTTCATGCAGCCATCAAGTGTGGAGAATGAGAGTTGGCAGATTGTTGAAGTCTCTTGCATAATGCTTTACACGTGTACCCTTTATATGATGGTTATTGTATTGTAATAGGATGGAAAACTTGTCTGATATACTCTTCCCTTGCCTCGGGGTACTTCTGGGTTTCAGAGAGAGGATTTATTTGTTTGGGGATGGGGGCGGGAAGGATAGGTTGGAGTATATAGTACATTTTCTATAGTTATTACCAAGATCGGGTTAATCTGATAATCATACTAGGCGTAGTTGTATCTTTGGGGCTTAGAAGCAACTTGTCAGTTTTCTTTGATTGAACATTGCCCTGTGTCATTTTCACCACTTAACAGTGGTGTGGAAAATTTAATCATTGCTATAATACAGCTTTAGAACCATATTTCCAAATGATAGTATTCAGTACTTGGGTCTCAGAACTGATTTGTGGACCTTTTGCAGTATTGCAGATCATTCTTGTTCCCTATAGCTTCTGTATGTCAGGGTCCCCTTTGTGTACTTGTGCAGCTGCAAATAATTGCCTCACTCCAGCACTCCGATACTGTTTTCTCTTCCCAGTCAATGTGTCATTTCCACATTTTAAAATAACTTGATATATTGGGTGGGGTGCAGTTCAGTTCATGATGGAGTTCATCTTTTGTTTAGACTGAAAGAATCACGCTTGATGGGACAAACATCCTTTTGATGTTTAGGTTTTATGTTCTTTCTTTAATAAGCTGTACTAATCTCTGGCAGCAAATGCTTCTGAAGCACGCAAGTACTTCTTTCTGATAGGTTGACATCTGCTGCTGGATTCAGTAGGGTCTTATCATTCAGTGCCTTCTGGAATATTAACTGTTCACTCATTATTAATGCTGCACACCTATTTTTCATGACTCAGTGAGGAACCTAGAAATTTTCCCTTTTGGGGGGATAACATTGGAAGTACTAGGATGGAACAAGTTGGATCCGGTTAGTATGAATTTGGCTATTATCTTTTTATTGCTGATTATTTCAACCTCCATTGTTTACACCAGTCCTGTACCCACATTTACCAGTTTGTGGATTGAGGTTCACATTGGATATAACTACATGAAATATTTAATCCTTAAAAACAGGTTTCACAGTGAATGAAGGTTAACAAATTTAGTGCAAATAAAACTCATTAATCTTTTTATGCTCTACGAGAAGCAATAGCATGAATTGAATACTTTGAAGTGCGAACAGCTATGATGATACATGCTGATTGGGTTCTGTTGCCGTAGGGCTAATCTATAAGGCTGTTTATATGTTACTTTACAGATGCATTTAGATTAAGGTTAGCCATTGGATTGTGATTGTACTGCGCGATGGTTAAAGTAGAAGATGCGAACATTAAGAAGCCTTTTTGCTTACCATTGTTTTTTTGCAGGAAAGCTATTGACAATGTTGCCTCACTTAAGTTGTGTCGAAAAACATGGAAAGTAGACGACTATTCAGCTTTTGTCATGTTGTTTCATCTATAATAAAACAACCCTTTTTTTAAACTAAGCATAATCAGATGCAGCCTTTTTTGTTTACTGACATGAAAGATACATAATTATAACTAGGGATGAAATCTAAAATTAAATTTAATAAAGGAATATAGGCCATGTATAATAAAACTGCTGCAACATTTATTTGTTCTAACGTCTTTTCTTTTAATTTCCATTCATTATAGGTAATATTATTGACAAAAGTAACAGTTTTTTTTCAACTTTGTAAACAGTTAGTTTTGGTCAACTTAATATCCGAGTGGAATGTGTTTGACATGAAATAGATTTTTCATTGCCATTACATAAATGGTTTACTCACTTACATTAAGTCTTTTAAACAGGAAAAGATTTATAATCTTGAAGTGCTTAAATATTTTAAGGCTGGTAATGCATGTCGAAGGTTTAATCGCGTAACTACTGTATTATGTTGGGAAATCATGAAACATTGTAATATTTATGTAACTTTTATGCATGTATGTGTATATTTCAATTTTTACTTCATCACATCAGCATTCGCACAGTTCTGTAAAATGGGGAAATTAATCGGAATGTGAAAAACTGCAAAATTGAATGATCCATCAGTTTATCTTAAAAGTTTCCCTTTAGAGAAATGATCACAGGATTGAAACCCAATTAATATTGCATCATGTTGCCACTTTCTCACCTTGAAGGAAAAAGATTATTTTCAAATGTTCATTACATATGACAAGATTCAATCAAGCATGACCTGTGCTGATGGGAATGTAGCTATTCAGACCTTCACATTTGTCTGAATAACACTACGGTCTTCGTGCTTTAAATGTTATTGCTTTGTACTGTGTGCTATAAAGAACATAATGGGCTATGGTGGGTGCTGCAGGTTAGAAGAGATCAAAATGAGATTGAAAAGTTGTTTGCCACACGTTCCATTCTGCTTACACTTTTTTAAAAAAAGACATGTACCAAACATTTTACGTGTTTTCAATATACAAGATGGGTAAGATTGGCAATTAATTGGGGAGGGAGGAATGAGTAATATCCATGCATTTGTTTGGCAAGATTTCAGTTCTCTACACTGGGCCTCTTGAGAGAAGCAAGATACAAGGTCAGTGTATTCTGGCTACTGCAGCATTTCAGTCATTTATGCCAATTGATGAACATGGCAGAGATCCATTAATTGAGTATGTCTGATAAATAGTTTTATCGTTACAAACAGAGCTCCTGTCAGGCTGGTTCACACGTATGTCAGAGCCTTTTAAGATACCTGAAAGTCCTTTACTGGTAATAACATTTCTACAAAATGTTAAGCACTTTTCAAATCTTGGAGAAGCTTTCGGAAGGTATAGGCAGATCACCTAGAAACTTCCACGACTGCTGTGACTAAATTGTTCTCTTTGTGGCCATCAATCTCTTTTTCACCATTTAAATACTCTGCCTGTCTATACTCGGACAACACAGATGTATGGTAGCAGTTTGAAGCAATGGCACTGTTCCAACTGCACTGTTCAACTGGAGATGCCACTTTGGAGCATTGTCTACCTTTCCCCTTAATCCCGACTTCCTCTCAGCCACCCCCCACCCCCCCACTTTGTTGCTCAATCTCTCTTACACCCCTCCCCAGGTCTTTCGATGTTTCCAAATGTCACGTCAGTCCAGTTTAAGATAGTCAGCTTGTCTGACTGGACTGATGCAAATCTGTTTTTCCTTTAATCCTCCTATTGCTATCGGAGAGTCTGACAAGTCATGCTTGTGTTCTGATGCCTCATTTCCACTCCTTTGACTGTGAGTCATATTGCTTTCAGCATGGGCGGCGACGTGGCTGCACTCAATGTTTTTTTCCTATATTTATCAATGAATTCCTTTGGGTGTATCCAGGACTATGACCAAACTTGCTAACGAAAAGAGGAAGCTTTGAGAGAGTTCAAGACTCCTGTCCCACATATAACAAGTCATTACTCGTTTTCCCACTTAGGGAAGAGGTTCAGAGCTCCACAATTAATACATGTCAGCTGGTCACAGTCAAGGCAGTTGAAAAGAACACTTCAGTTGGTCTTAGTGGTCTCTTGAGTTAGGGAGGGAGAAAAACAACTTTTTTGAAAATGTGGATTTGGCTTAGCCTCTGCTATCATATGCTGATGTTCACTGGGCTCACGTGTGAGGAAAGGTTGGATAGTAGCTGGCACCTGTGTGGGCAAAAATCAGGCACATGGAAAAGGTGAATTCCTAAAGCTGCCGGGTGTGGATTAGAACCTCAACAATTTCCCCTCAACTCTTTTGCTGCAAAGTTATTCAGATATAATGCTTCCATCATATGTGATGGGTGTGTTCTGTTTAGCTATTAATGTGTAGGTAGCAGAGCTGTAAATCCAAGTGCACAACTTTATTAGAAATAATGCTCCTTTCCATTGCCATAAATACTTGTTAGCTAGAACAAATTCAAGGATAATTTATTACTATTGGATTAAAACAACTGCGCGGAACAACATATTGTTAACTTTATTGATGTGTAGAGGATATGTTTGTGTGGAGTCCCATAGTTTAGTGGTTAGGGGAATTGCCTCACAAGCGAGAGGACCTGGGCAAAACTTTAGGCAAGTTTCCTTACTTCACACGTCTCTGATTACTAAGCAGTAAGTTGGAACCCAGTTGTTAGTTGATTGGTAGATCGCTTCCAAGGGTAATAAACTCTTCCCCCCCCCCCCCCCCAAAAAAAAGTGGTGCTGCTTTCACAGTTACCTCAGACATCACCCCGGCCTTACGTCATTGCAGTGGCTTCACTGCATTTTCTTTATTCTTTTAATGAGGTGTGATTAACAGTCAATACCTTTTTTATTTCAATTGAATATATTCTGTTCTCAAAATTGCTATAAAAATTATTAAGATGTGAAATACCTTGACTAATGAATAAATGCATTATGTTACAGGCGAGATTTTTCTGAGCACCATGTCTCGTCGTACCAGAAATAATCGTGCCTGGCGCTACGTGTACAGTGGAGTTCATAGAGATACTGATGCCCGGGCTCTAGTATTGCCCAATGGGGCCGAAGGTTCTGGCTATGATTCCGACGGGCAGGTAAGTAACCATACAGAGAAAATCATGTCATCGCTAACCTATTTACAAACCCAACGAGCACTCTGCAAAAAGTAGAACAAGGCCTTCAGTCCTAACCTTGTTTCTAAATCACATATCGCTGTTCATTCTTCAATTGCCCTGTGCCCCTCTCTCTGGACATGAAATGCAGAGGAGAGGAAGGGAAAGAACGCATGCATCCCAGACTGAATTAAAGGGATTAATGCTTGTCTGTACTGAACTTGGTACCTCAGGCATAATTGGACTATCTGTAACCAACTATGAACCTACTGTGGTAGGTTCCAAATGATAAGCAATTTCTGCCTCTGGTCCAAGATGGTCAATGAACATTTTAAATGGCATGGGCATTTGTTTAATGCATACCTTTAAAATTCCTCTCCTCATCTATTTAATAACTAGATTTTAAATCCAGTATTGCACCATTCTGTACATCTTAACCTTTATTCTTCTGTGCGTGTGGTTTATGTGATGTGTACTGAAAACCTTGACCGTCGCCAATGGTGGTCTGCTTTTTTGCATTATCCTAAATTGAAAATGTCAAATTGTCCTATTAAAAAAAATAAAGCTACCATACTTTGAAGTTGTTTGGAGAGAGTGAATTAGTTTTTGCAATAGACCCAATAAACAGGTTCTGTAATGAATCAATTTGGTAAAGATCAGAAAATATATCTGTTATCAAGTAATCTTGGGTTGTACTGTGTACTGTATTTTGTGAATCAGCAAATTGGAACTTCTATTGATGTAAGCATTAGTTATAGTTTGTTCCATAGAAATTTACAGCACAGTGGGCCATTCAGCCCATCTGTGCTGGCTCTTTGAAAGACCAAAGTTCAGAAACATTTGGTATGGAAATTAAATAATTACAAGCGCAGTAGTGTGGAACCATTGGGAATTTTCAGAAATAAGAATTTTGATAAATGTGAACAAAATGTAGAAGTTCATACAGTGATTGGCTAAACAAGTGGCATAATGTAATTTATTCTTTAGCTGCTTAGAAATTATCAGATAAAAGTGTGCATTCTTCTTACATTATGGCTGCATCAGAGAGAGATAAGCAATGATTTCCTCTGATAACATCTGCATAACAGCAATGTGAAGTAATGCCTGCACTTTTACTGAGCATTGCTCTAGGTATTGCTAAAAATAGCCATGAAAACCCCTGAAATGTAGAAATAATGCTGGACTTGATTTTATATTTAATGAATATGTCTGCACTTCGGGACAAGTGCATAGAAGTGGCTGCTTGTCCACATCGCAGATACCCAGATGATGGAGGTTGTAAAGACCCAAACTCATCAAAGAGTTACCGCCCAATATCCTTACTCTGCTCGACCTACAAGCTATATGAACAGATGCTAATGGACAGTATAGTGCTAATCACGGAGTGGGCAGCTAACGGTTGACCAAGCCAAATGTGGCATCTGGTTCTCGACACCCAAAAGGTTGGACCACCCTGCTTTAGGATCATCACAAGGACTTTGAAACTAATTCCCACACTATCCCTGTACTGTCTCGCGGGGAATGCACCGCCATCAGTGAGGCTTTGAGATGTTTCAAATATATGATAAGGCGTTATCTTGTCAGGGTATTAATGGACATGGGGCAAGGGCGGCTAACTGGACTTGAGGTACAGATCAATCGTGATCTTATAAAATGATGGAACGGGCTTGAGGTTCTGAATAGCAAACTCCTGTTTCTACGTTATATCAAATGCAAGGATTATTTATTATGTTTCATATTGAATTCTTTGTTTTTAATCTCTTACAGCACAGTGACTCAGATTCTGAACCAGAATTCCGTTATTTGCCACCATCAATCCCAACTGCAGTCCCTGTAACAGGGGAATCCTACTGTGATTGTGTGAGCCAGAGTGACACCCGATACTGTCCCAGTGTGCGCAGCTTCCATCGCATGAAGGACTGTCATTGTGGAGAGGAGGATGAATGTAAGAATGATCAAGATAGATGTTGTTTTATTGAGGGATTTGGCAAGTGCACCCATTAGCCAATAGGACAAATACGTACATAAGGAAGGTGAAATGAGCCAATACAGAAACTCAAGTAACACAGCGTCAGGATTCAACATTCCTTAGATCAAGATACACCCAAAATCAGAGCAGACAAGACACAGTAGGAAATGCGTAAGGTGGAGTGCAATTGTGTCTTTCTGACAATCTAATTTTTCAGGAAACTGAGTTTGTTTGCTTCTGTCATTGTCGGTTGGCACAATTTCTAAAACCAAAGTTTAGTTTGAATTAACAAGAGAGGGAATATGAGGCATCGGGGCTCGTGTAGAGTATAAACCTTGCAAGTACTAGTTATAATAAAGAATAATCCTTGGATTGATATAGCACCTTATCACATCATTGAGACAAAGTGCTTCTCAGAATATATTGTAAAGTGGATTGACTGTGCACTTTGTGGGCAAAATGTTGGATAGAATAGGCCCATTTCTGTCTTGTATTTTCTATGTACCTTTATGAGAGGAGGAGAAGGAAGTGATGAGTAAAGTATGACCATTGGCAGTAATGTCTTGTGTTTTTTTTAAACTAAATTTCCTCTCCACACAGACTTTGACTGGGTGTGGGATGACACTAGTAAGTCCTCTGCCACATTGCTGAGTTTTGAGAACAGAGAGGTCAATTTCCACATGGATTACAGTTGTGGAACAGCTGCTGTCCGAGGCGACAAGGAAATGAGTGAAGGACAACACTTCTGGGAAATTAAAATGACCTCTCCTGTCTATGGGACAGACATGGTAGGTACAATACAGTGTCAGCTCAACATGTAAATAAATAGCATTACTTCTCCTATGATGGTGCTATGATGATTTAATTTTGTACATAGGACATTTTAGGAGAAGTTGCATCCTTGGTTGCGTGCAGTCAATTTGGCTCACATAAGTTTTGGATGGAAAATTTTGTTACTCGGTTTAATCGACTTTCTGTCTGAAACCTGCCTTATATGCGACAGTTATTTTTATTTTGTTCTCAAAGATTCTGGCTCCATTTCCATGTCACTTTAACCTTCACGTTTTAGTTTAAAAAGCCTCCCCACATCGCGTTTTGGGGATTTATCCCATAGTTCTTTTCTATCTGTCACTTACATGAATCTTCAAATTGTAGGATCCTGCTGGCACTGTCATTTCTTATTTTTTCTTTATCCTTTTCCCACCATTTTCCATCTAAAAGGTAAAGCAAGACAGGTCTGTCGTTATGTGTCATCAGTACCATCTTAGTCAAAAGGTTGTGGATTCAAGCCGCATGTCGGTACTTAGAACTCATATAGTCTAAGCTGACTCTCCAATGCAGTGCTATACTAATTAATAATAATCTTGCATTTGATGTAACGCTTCACAGAATATACTGTAAAGTGTAGTGACTTTGTGTTTTGTGGACAAAACGCGGCAAGCAATTGTGCAGAGCCATGTCCCACAAACAGTGCATTGTTGGAGGTGCCGTCCTTCTGATGAGACGTTAAAACAAGTCTGCCTTTTCAGGTGTATAATAAGTATCCCATGGCACTGTTTGAAAAGAGAAAGGAGGTTTCTCCAGGCTTCCTGGACCAGATAATGTTGCTCATACGCAATCACTATACTTCATAGTAAATCCTGTGAAGAGCTTTGAAATGTCTCGGAAGACATGATAACACTCTATATCAAATGCAGAATTATTATATAGTATATTCAAATGATCCTACTGCTGCCGGGAGCTGCATTGAGAGAAGACTTGGTCGGTTGGCTTGCCTACTGCCTCTCTCTTTCTCCCTATGGGGAGTTTCCTCTTCTCACTCCTGAAGAACCCATCCACCTGTAGCCATGTAGCTCTCAGTAGTGTATACTCTATGTAAAGTGTACAAACCCTGACAGTTTCACCCTCTCACTGTAGGTCCACTGTTAAACTATTAAAAGCTGTGTGAAAATGTGAAACTGATGCTTCATTTTCACATCACAGAAAGCTGCAGCTCAGGTTTAACTATATTCTGATACCAACAGCTGAATGTGGAAGTGTCAGTTAAAAATAGCTTGTTCATGATGAGCAAATTGAGTTACACTGAAGCTGATCCCAGCAATTGCTTACATTACCTGGTGTTAATTTAACATTCTCTCATGTCATAGTAATTTCCATGATGAACCTGTACGCTATTGGTGAAGTCCTCCATAGTTGGTTCAGCCAAGAAGGGCATATTTAAATGGATGAGCGTTTCAATTCTGCAAACTGAAAGCTGTTACTAAGAAAGCTCTGTACTTTTTGTCACTGTTTAGATGGTAGGAATCGGAACAACTGATGTCAAACTGGACAAGTATCGTCATACCTTCTGCAGCCTGCTGGGAAAGGATGAAGATAGTTGGGGTCTCTCCTATACAGGTACCATTCTTCAAGAAGCATTCACTCTTGTATATTGGTACCTATTGACAGGACTCTTGTCTGGGTCAGAAGGTTCAAGCCTTGAGCTGCACTCTTGTGAGGTCCTGGTGAGTGAATAGGGAGTGGGGCGGAGAGGCAAAGTGAAATTCTCAGAGATGCAATGATTCAGACAAAATGTTAAACCAAGTTTGCATCTTTAGTTGTACATTAAAGATCTAATAGCACTTCTCAAAGGGAAAATGGAGTTTCTCCCCAGTGTCCTAGCCTACAATCCACCAGATACAATTAGTATTTTTCAGTCTATCTTTCTGCCCTTTCTTCCTTTTTTCTGGTTTCTGCTTTAGGGGATCCTCTGTTTTGAATAAAGCATAAATATCATGAGAAAAGCTTTGTGTAAACAGCTATAAAACATAAGTAGAAAGTTGGCAATAGGAAGAAGAAAACTAGGAATGCAGCCACCAACCGGGAAAGAGAATGACATTCTAGTAATACATTAAATCAGGCAAGATATCTGCGAGCAAGTTTATCAGAGCAATATGTTTTGTGTGGATTATGTGGCATGTTTTCTGTATTGGAGTTTTGCAAAGAAGATATCTTAACTATTCATACAAAACTTGCTGTGTTTGGAGTTGAGTCAGAACTTTACGACTTGCCCAATGTTTTCAAAGCTCCAACATGTATGATGCAATATCGTGCTCTCATGACACATTATTGATGTCTTATCTGTGATTGTGAATCTGGGTAAAACCGAAGAGAGAAAGATTCCATGACTTGAAAGGAACAGATCATGAGCAATTCAAAAGGAATTTCAAGGGGGAAAGAAGGTTACTTTCAATGTAAAGTATTTCTCTACTCAAAGTGCCCGAAAAAATATTTTTTAAGTATCTCTGAAGAGGATTGCAACAAGTATGAGCAGTGTGTGAAAGCTGATCACAGATTCCTTCCCTCCCAGGCTCAGATGAATCATCTGCCTAGATCCTCTTTACACAGCAGGAATCTGCATTCTTTTGCTTCCAGATTCTAATTCTGGTGCTGAAATGTACAGCGTGGCTTGGTATCAGCTGCATTACTGTCTCACTGATACTGAGGCTATGTTGCACTTTCTTAAGCCCAGGATTGGTGTCTTTCTCACTGGATAGCAATATGCTGGTATGTTCCCTTTTAAGTAGTTGTTGTGAAGCTATTGTAAAATAATGAACTATTGTTGAGCCATTACAAATTAGTCTTAAGTTGGCTGAAGAAAATGCACTGTTAATGGTACATTGCTGTACTCAAATTTTAGTGTACACAATATACAGTCACTCCACTTTCCAGTAAATCCTGTGAAACTCTTTGGGTTGTTCTCTCGATGTGAAAGGTGCTATACCAAATGCAGCCTGTGAAGCGCTTTAATATGTCATTTTATTAAGATTTTTAACAGTTTTATTTATTTTAGGTGTACTTCATCACAAAGGTGCCAAGAGCCATTTCTCAACCAGGTTTGGACAAGGTTCCATCATAGGTGTTCACTTGGATACCTGGTACGGTACCCTGACCTTCTTCAAGAACAGGAAATGCATAGGTATGAACCAGTTTATATGGTGGGATATTTATGTTTGAAAATCTCAATTGGATAAAGAGCTGTTCTTCTAATTGACAGAGTGGAGTAGAGACTGACCTGCTATGTTCAAACCAGTTTAAAATTGGAGAAAGTGTAGCCTTGCAAGAATTTGGTCACTCAATCCACGACTCTTTGTGGGACACTGCTGTGCACAATTGGCTACCGCATTTCGGCCATAAAATATATAGTCAATTCACTTTACAGTATATTCTGTGAAGCGCTTTGAGACGTCTCGAAGACGTGGTAAGGCGCTATATCAAATGCAAGGATGATTATTCTTATATGAAATGAAAATTAACCTAAAAGCCAAGACAAGGCATATCAACATCCTGTGATGAATAGAGTCTTAGAAATGGATAGAAGCCTGCAAATGTTCTGGTAGAATGGCCCTGTTTTCAGCAACAAGGCGATGTGTTCGTGACATTGGCTGGTATCCAAAAGGAAGTAGAGTCGAGAGAAGTTGTGTGCACTTTGCCCAAGCAGCCACCAGTACTTTAAGGATACATTAGCACTGAATATTAAATAGCAAAAAGTTAGTTTGCAGGTGCAGCAGCAACTAAGAAGGCGAACGACATGTTAGCGTTCATTGCAAAAGGTTTAGAGTACAAGAGTAGGGAAGTCTTGCTGCAACTGTATAGGGCCCTGGTGAGACCGCACCGAGAGTATTGTGTGCAGTTTTGGTTTCCTTATTTAAAAAAGGACATACTTGCCCGAGAGGGAGTGCAGCGTAGATTCACTAGCGTAGTTCCTGGGATGAGGGGACTGACCTATGAGGATAGGCTGAATAAACTAGGGCTGTATTCTCTAGAGTACAGAAGAATTAGAGCAGATCTTATTGAAACATATCTCCTTAAAGGGCTGATAAAGTAGACACTGAGGGTCTGTTTTCCCGGTAGGAGAATCTATAACCAGGGGTCACAGTCTGAAAATTAAGGGTCAGCCTTTTAGAACAGAGTTGAGGAAACATTTCTTCACTCAGAGGGCAGTGAATTTATGGAATTCACTCCCCCAGAAGGCTGTAGATGCTCAGTCCTTGAACATCTTCAAGGCTGAGACTGATAGATTTTTAAAAAACAGAGGGGATATGGGGATAGAGCAGGTAATTAGAGTTAGGTCAGAAGATCAGCCATGATCTTATCGAATGGCGGGGCAGGCTCGAGGGGCTGAATGGCCTACTCCTGCTCCTAATTCTTATGTTCTTAATGCAAACATTGCAGAAAGTATATTAAAAAAGACGTGTTAATCGTGTCACAATTGGGATTTCACCACTTGAGATTGCTGGACCGTATCATAAATGATTTGTGAGGAACAGTAAAGTTGGCAGATTTTATTTTGAATGGTTTGGCAGTCTCGAGAGCTTTGGTATGCCAGCTCTACAGCAAGCCAGCCTCAAGCATTTTACTGTGCTGCTAAAAGATGACTCTTGATAATAATGGATGTCTGGTCGGTGTTAATGAGTATTTCTTCCTTATAAAGGAGTTGCAGCTACAAAAGTGCAAAATAAGAAGCTCTTCCCAATGGTTTGTTCAACTGCAGCAAGGAGCAGTATGAAAGTGATCCGCTCTTGTTTCTCCCAGACCTCTCTTCAGTACCTTTGCTGCTTGAGACTTCGAGAGCTAATGCCTGATCACACCGATACGCTGGAGGTTCTTCCCCTACCCCCGGGTCTGAAACGCATGTTACGCAATCGCTTGGGTTGGGTGCTCTCCATGAATCATGAAAGCAATAGCAAAGAGGCTGCGTGTGGCTCGTCAGGCAGTGATTCCGACAGCTCCTCCTCGCTAGAGACAGACGCCTGCCAACGAAAGAGATGCCGGCGGACTTAACACTCAAAATATTGTTTTTTTTAAAAAAAGGCAAAGATTGTAACTGCAGAAGTTACAACTATAGTTCCTTTGGACATGGACCAGTGCTGCTACTTTGAGCCAAATGCAAGATGATCAAAGCTCTCAACTTCTACATTTTACCGAACTATTGGGGAATAATTTGCCTATGAACTGGGGGATGAGCGATAGTGCTTGCTGTCTGGCAGCAGAAGATTTCTTTTGACTATTGTACCTGTGTACATAAATGATTTTTATTGAAAGGGTATCATACATTTAGGCTTCTTGTAGGTAATTTAGTGCTTTCATCTGAAAATATTAAATATTCAACTCATTCAAAATATTTACCGCATGTTTTTTTACTAAAGGTTTGTAATATCGTTTTTTGTTAGAGGTGCAATTAATGCAGGCAATTGAAACCTATACCAATGTTCCTTTGTCAATTAAATTTCAAGAATGTTTAATGTTACATGACTTTTTTAAGGAATAAAGTAAAATTCAATCTGGGCATAAATCTAATGAATGTTGGGTGTGCAGTTACTCTCTGGATTAAAGAACTTTAAATCTAACCTCTATTAAAAAATGATAAATGGAATGTCAAAGAGCTAAAATCAATCTTTCCTGTTAACCGTAGGTTTTAGCCAATTGATAACTTGATAAAGGTGTCCAGGCCAACAACTCTTTCCCCCCCCCCCCCCCCCCACACCCCCGATAAAATTGGTCACTCCCTTCATGGCTGTTTGTGGAGTATTGTGCATAAATTCGCTGCTTCGTTTGCCTATAAAGTCACTGCAATTCACAGTAAAATTCCATAAAGTGCTTTGAGACGTCTCAATGAAGTGATAAGGTGCTATATCAAACGCAAGTATTATTAATAATTAATATAGTGTATTCAATGTACTAGAGACCACATCTAGCTGTTAAGAAGCTGTAAGATTGAGGTTACCACCTCAAAATGTTCACCAAAACTACAGTTGTTGTGGAAACCCACTTCATAGCCTACCCACAATTCTTACAAGGAAATCCATATTTGTAATAGCTTTTTTTTCTGACAGTAACATAATAGATGTGAACAAAATCTAATGTGACTAATCTAATTTTTAAAAAAAAATCCTTTATAGGAAAACACATTAGCTGGACAAAAGAAGGGCAGGGTAGAAAAAGCACCAGTGTAGGGTATCCTTACCACATTCTTGATAAGTCCTTGAGCAACAGAATTCTTTATGGTTTTCCAAGTGTACTGATCTTTGTCACATATTTTGTTAATTATTGCTGTTGATTGAAAACAATGCTGGGCCATATGCTGACTGTGGAATCATTGTGGTGGATGTTGGCCGGCAGTAACATTCCTATGGGTTTGATCTTTGATTTTAAAAACTTCACTCTCAATCAAACTACATGCTGTCTTAATCTACTTTTCAATGCATCTTAGCACATAAGGTTGGAATTGTTGCCAGAGACACTAATACTGAATCTCTCAAATATTTGAGATCATTATTGTCCTGCATTCTATCTGTCTAAACCTTGTATACTGGAAGAAATCAGATTTTATTCAGGAAGAATAGTGATTAAATATAGCAATAAGACTTCACATTAGAAATGGCATTTGAAGTTGTATTGATTTTTTTCAAATGTATTCAACTTTGGCCTTATCTATCTTCTATTTATCTGTCTTCTGTCTATACTAATAAAATAATGTCTGTCTGTGTGTCAGCCAAAATCTCAACAACCGATTGACTTAGAGACATAATAATCCTTGCATTTGATATAGCGCTTTTCATGTTGGGAGGACATCCCAAAGCACTTCACAGAACACACTGTAAAGTGAATTGACTGTATATATTTGTGGGTGAACGCGGCAGCCAATTGCGCACAGCAATGTCCCACAAACAGTCGTAGATTGAAAATGACCAATTTATTATTGTTTTTTGTTTTGGAGGGATTATTATTAGGCTCTGTGTGGAGTAAGGAAACTTGCCCAAGGTTTCGCCCTCTGCCTGGAATTGAACTCAGGTCTCTCACTTGCAAAGCGAGTGCTCTAACCACTGAGCTACAGGACTCCACATGATTTGTCATCGGAAAGGCCTTGCATTTGGGAGTGTCATGGACATATTCTTTTCAGGCATCTCCTATCGTTGATGAGTTATGCCCTAAACAAGACCCATCACACGTGTGTGGGCAGTTTTACATTTTGCGCTGCAGTTACACCTGGTGACCGCACCAACACCCAGTGGCGCTGTGGCATCATGTGTCACAGAATATCGAGCACTCAGACGAAGCCAAGTGACGGCAATAAGTTAAAGATACCTAAGTGAACATCAAGCCTTTCAAGTACAAATAAAAATGCCAGACGAAAGAAAACCGATTAAATGGAACAGAAAAACAAAGAACAGCACGGCTGCATTGCAATAACTCGAGGACCTGCCGCATTACACAATAAACCCCTTCGGTCAATAGCTTTGATACGATCTCCGATCATTCATGAGCTCTGACCCTTTGATAGGATCTTCTATCTTTCATTATCTATGACCCAAACCAGCTCATCGCATATGTTTGACAAGTTTTGCTTGAGGTGTACGCACAGTGTTCATGGCATGTTAAATGGTTTGTAAGTGGTCTCACTGAATCTACATTCAGATTGGATCCTTTGGTTGCAAGCAAAGCTCCAACAGGTACAGTTAGTGTAATGTATGTAGTCACACAGTCGTGGTTGCCAATTTATAATAATCCTTACATGTTAGAGCGCCTTTTATGTCAGGAGGAAGTGTACAGTGGTGGAATTGTAAAACTATAACCCTCTTTGGGAGCATTTTTTGCCTTCTGACCGTGCCTTCAGCTCCCTTCTCAACTCTCTGCCCCTCCTCGCCCCCTCCCTCCCCCTGACCATTTCCCCCCTGCTCCGGTCCTGACCCAACTGTCCAGCGCTTTGGGACGTCCTCCCGACGTGAAAGGCGCTCTATAAATGGAATCTTTTTGTTGTTGTTCTGGTTTCAGTTCTCAAGCAAGTGGAAATAAGTGAAACCTGGAAACTTTAATCACATCAAAACTTCTGTGTTATTTCCTTGTGTCCTGTTCTGTCTTTCCCTTGCCCCCATCTCAAGACATTCCTCTTTGACTGCGCCTTCAATCACCCTCCTACCCCTACCCTGCCTGCCCTCCACCCTCCTGATCCCAATCCCGTGCTCGGGACCAAAACCGGGTCCAGTGCCTTGGGGCGTCCTCCCGATATGATACAAATGTAATTTGTTGTTGTTGTCATCTGCTCCTCATTTGATATAGTGAGGAGGATTGAGCTTTGAACTTAGTTTTAATTCAACTGCATCTTTTTAATTTCAGTTCGATTTTTGCTGCTGCCATGTGAAATCCAATTTCCCTCCTAAAGCTTTATTCTAAAAGGTAAAATAAGCGCAGGGGGATCAAACATTCCTTCAACACAGATTCACAACACTGTCGATCTCTAACGGCATTAGAAACGCATTCCATCTGTTGTGCAAAACATAATACAGTAGATTTGAGGAATGCCTCTGGGAATTGTTTGTACACCAGGAAAATGAATTACAATTTTGGGGCTGTTTTATTTTGGGGGATTTTGCCATCTGTATCTAAACGGGTAAAACGTTTCAAATCTAGAGTTTTGCATTCAAGCAGTATGTAGAGGAAATAAGATTTTACTGTCATCTATAAAGTGGTACTGATGTTATCCTAAATATAAGCATAGGCAGTGGATGATGTGTAATTTGTTCTGGTCAGCTGGCGGTCTGACACGAGTATTCAAACCAGACAGAGTTCCACATATGCATGACACGTGCAATGGAAATTCCCGTGCATTGGAATGGAATGGGCCGGGGAGAGGTGCTTACCTAATTCCGTAGAGTATTAGGCACAGGTTGTCGAGATCCATGGCTGGGGGGGGGGGCAAAGTGTGCGTTGGGGTATTGTGGAATTCAACCAGCTGTTATACTACAGAAAGTTCCTATTAACTCCCGTGTCCTCTTTTAACACTTTACTATTTTATTTGATTACATCTACTCATACAAAGATACAGATAATACAATCGGTATTTATCACATATTTATCACAAACAGTAAACTTGTTCCCAGATCTACAGTGGCCCAGCGTTAGCTGCGTGACCACCTACCCTCACAAACATCACAGCAACACGGTTTTCAGAATTGCAGTAGAGCTTTGCAAAGTTAACTTGTGTATTCAGTATAAGAAGGTAGTGATTGTATGTTTTCAAAATCAACTCTGGAACATTGTTGACATGATGATAGATACCCAACCGCTCTGATCAAATGATCAGATGATGGACAACTGATGTTTGGTGATGGGTTAGTTAGTCTCTATGGCACGCTGATTTTAGCTGATGAAGCAGAGATTCTTCAGCAAGCTGTCTGCAGTTTCCATCTCTAGTTTGCTTGAAAAGTCTTCCACTTGATTTATAATGTCACATTTTGTCTTGTAATGTCTTGTACATTTTCACATTCCTCATTTAATGCTTAAATATAAACATCATGTCATCGCAACTGAAGTAATACTTCAGGCAATCTGACCAATCCGCCTTTCTTCCTCCAGGTTAGTGTTCCTGTTAAAACCCACCTGTCCTGTAGTGTACCGTACCAAGCCCAATTTAGCTTTATCTCTGTAAGATGATCTGTATCAAGGCCCAGTCAATGTAGGCAAATCTCTCCCTGTGTATCTGGGAACGATTATTAACGTCAATCATCAATCCCTGGGAGTAAGAACCTGTTTAGAGGATAAATAAGGACTACAGATATTTAGGGAGGGGGTGAGCAGGAAAATACTCATGTTCATTCTTGAACAGGAGTATTTTCCTGCTGAAATTGTGCTGTATGAGATCTCTGGTGTATGGCAGATAGTGAAAAATTCTTGTAATGATCTTCTGAGGTCAAAATACTCTGGAAAAATGGCCCAGTCAAAGGAAGGTATTTTTCAAACCCAAACCTAAGTGAAGTCAGAGACGCATCAAGTTTAGAAACTATGTTCGACTCTATATTTGCAGTATAAAATGTCACTGTCTTTCCCATATATCCTGTGAAGTGCTTTGAGATGTCCTCCCAATGTGAAAAGTGCTATATCTAAGGTAAATATTATTATTACTACTATTATACTGGTAGTAGATTTGCTTTCTGGGACCTTGTATCATCCTCTTTGATACTGGTTGACCCTTAGTGTTTGCAAGTGGTCCCTCCTGTTTTGAAGGCTGGAGCTGTTACTGATAGGGTCTCACTGGTTATTTCTCCCCAACTTAATCCCCTTTTGCCCCGTTTGTGCTGTGGGGTACTATGTTAGCTACATTATTTGAGCAGAAGATCCATAATGAAGCTGGCATAATGTGGAAGATATTGCTCAATAGATCTTTTTTTATGTCTCAAAATTCTTGTTCCATTTTGAGAAGCTATGTGATAGTGAGTATGTGAAATGTGGTACTTCATTCATGATGTATGAGTGTGATTTTTGTGATTCATTATTTTATACTTTGATGAAAATGTCTTAGATTAAAAAAACAACTAATTTGCAATGCCATTGTTGAGAGAAATGACCCCACTGCTGGTTTCCAATAATGTGTAATGATTATGAGGAGAAGACTTGGCATTTTTTGTGATCTTTGACTTATCAAATACCTCAAGGGTTAAAGTATCAATTTGCCTATAGTGCCAATGTCATGTAAATCAGGTAACTATAATATAGAGTTTGTGTAACTTATTATTCTCCTCCTTCCTTGTAATAACGCATTGTTTAATGTTTCTCTGATGTAAAAATTGCTAATACTACTCNAAAAAAAGTTTTAACTTCTCAATTAGTCAGATTACCATCCGTCATAATAAGCAAGTACAACATCAAAATGAATACAGATATAATGCTGATTATTAATTCAATGTTAAATCAAATAAGGTACATAATGGATAAATAGCAATCAAACTCCAGTTGAATACAATGCAAGATACAGTACACTATGTATACATTCTATCAATAAGGTGTTATTCAGAACACTATTCATGTAACCTACATCCATAGTTTCATCAATATCTAAAATAAAAAGTAGCATTCCTTCATCAATGTTAATAAGATAAAGAATAATGATCTGAAACCATTTTGCTCTCAATACTATGACCTCTACCATCTGTGCAATATAAGCACTGTGTAACAATTCCAAGGCTTCTTTCACAGTTACAAAAGTTGTTCACTCTCTTCATAAGTAAACTTTCTTAATAACTAAACATGCTGCCACGTAACTGACACTCAGATCTCAAATATTTTGTGCACTGATTTCTCATGGCACCATCCCTTAATTAAACTCCGAAACACGCCTATTTCAGAGTAATGTTAAATTAAGAGACTTAACATTTCTTTATTCAATAATTGTACCGACTTAAAATATTCTATTTAGGGAGTTATCATCACTAAAACTGAGTAATGGACTGTTTGGAACCTAACAGTGCTGTAAGTTTTACACGTCCATGTTCCTCCAGTTGTAGACCTATTACCAAATGGATTTAAATTCACACAGCTTTCCTCTCCCCACCACCCTTTCAGGGCGTTGTGATTTGCTTCACAGCATTTTGCTGTTTTTAGTGTGTTCCGCTTTCTCGCATTGCTTTTTCCTTTAGTTTTTACTCTATGGGGCTCAGAGAAAATCTCACTGGGGTGGCTGATAAGCCACCATTTGCTGTACCAAATCAACTCCGCTTTGTTTAAATACTTGTTTAACACTGTTTAACACTTTATCAAAATTTTTGTTAAAACCTCTTGTGAAAAGTATAGTGCTGTTACCCTCACCATTAATGAACCAGTCAGCCTTATTATCTTAACTCTTTCTGCTTCAATATAATCACACAGGCCTCGACCCATAAACTCTATAGTGTTTTGAAATACAAAGTCATTACTTCTTAACATTCAGCAGTAACATAGAAAGAGAAGTGAGAAATGGAACCTCTTTGACTGAACCACAGTAGGAAGTTAGTGCTTTAAGAATTGATAGGTTCAACAGTTCTACAAAGACATCATAACACTGAATAATACTACATTTTTTTTCACATATGTGCAACTCCAAATACATATACATAACATGCAAACAGATGTTGTACTTCTCGTCTTAAAGCTGCCAGGATCCTTCTTAAACAGCTCAGTTCTGTTAGCATCTGAATGTATGAAAGTTCGGTCAACAAGATTTGAGTAAATTTCTAAACTACAGCATCAGCTCATGTCTGATCAGCCAAAATCACCCATGCAGGGATGAGTCCTAATATGAATATAGGAGACTTAGTACAGAGGTTAGATTTGTCTGTCATTATACTCCGATCGTAAAATGGCTGAGTTCAGAAGTAAAAGATACTGTTGAAGCAAAGAGTATAATTGGGAGCAGAATGCAATGCTACAATTAATTACAGTAATATTAATTATCCTTGGCTGACCTCAAGGGCTTCAGACAGCACTTCATCTACTACAGTACTTATAATTAGGTATCTACATCTATCCATCCAAAAATAACACAATATAGCATAATAATTGAAAACAATACAACTGGGTTTCCAAACTCCAATGACACAGCAATTTGCTGTGATCATGAACTTAAGGATTACAAGTAGGTACACTGCAAATCTATATAGATTTTGTGATCTATGTAGGAAGATAACCATGTTTCCAGTTCTATGCCTTGTATGACATCAAGATTAAAAAAAATACAGCCTCTTTGATCAAATGATGGATTAGTTGATGATAGAAATAGTTTATCCCTCTGTAGTGAGTTTGATTCAGTGTTCTGAAGTGCGGTTTTAGCAAGCGATTCATCATTTCTCTGGTTCATTTGAAACATTCTTCATGTATCACGATTTTTCCTTTTTCTGTCTTTTCATTTGACCTTATTATTAACTTTTAACATTCTCAAGCTCTTAAAGCATAATCATGCTTAAACTCAAAACATCTTTTGATCGCAACTGAAGCCTTACCTCAGGCAATCTGACTAATCAGTATTTCTTCCATCGGGTTTGGATTTGTATTAAAACTGTGCAAATACGTCCTTACATGTTGCTGTCCAAACCAGGGTTTGACAATTTGCACTTGCTACAATATATAAAATAATATGAGAATAGCTGCCTCGGTGACTTATTTTAAGTAAGTGTCAGATACCGTTTGCTCACAAGATCAAGAGGAATTGATTTGTCTCATGTCATGCTCTCCTGGTGTGAAGTTCAGTTCAAGTACCAACCAGCAGCATAGTACCGCTATCAAGTAGAGAGGTTAATCCTCCATGCCTTGAGGGTAGGACTAGTCTGCCTTTTCCTACAAGTAGCAGTCATTAGCTGCTCTGGAAAGATTCTATCCAAAGGTTGCTACCTGTTGGAGTGGATGTAACTGCAGTGGTTCAAATACATAAGCATTTGAGAGATTTGTGTATTTCAAATGTACAGAATTTTCTCTTTCAGCAAAACTGCAGGCTGACAACACAGCAAATTTGGCATCTGTTTAATCATTTGCTACATTTGTTTTTATTTATTGAGAAAAGGCCATCCAGTAATGAGACTTAATTTCCTGTATATTTTAGCCAGGAATAGGAAGAGCTTTTGGCACTCACAGTTTAACTGCTGTAGCAAAATAGTATAAAATAATACAATTAAGCTTTGATGTGTTGGCAACGGAAACATGATGTAGTCTTGTTTGTGCTTTAGAGTGGTGAAGAGTGGATTTGCACTTGCATTTCCCCGCACAGCATGTTAATACTATTAGCCAGTTCACTGGAGAGAGGTTTAAAAGAAATCAAAGGTTGAATTGACCTGTGCAACTCTATGCAGCAAAGCACAGATAGCCTGTCAATTCTCTTGTATTGGTAACTTATAGTCATCAGCGATGCTGGAGGTTTCGCATTAATTCCAAATCTGAGTAGGTAGCAGCACAAAGGAGAAAACAATTTAGTAAACTTGTGCTTCTGTTGTGGGTTCAATCTCCAATGATCCTAACATTTAATAATAATCCTTGCATTTGATATAGCGCCTTATCGTGTCTTTGAGACGTCTCAAAGCGCTTCACAGGATATACTGTAAAGTGAATTGACTGTATATTTTGTGGGCGAAATCGGCAGCCGATTGTGCACAGCAGCGTCCCCACAAACAGTCATACAAAACATATGATGAGGTATCTCCAATTGCGTTTCAATTTAGTGTTCAATCAACCAGACTGTTTTGCTTTTGGTTAGGTTGTTATTTTTCCCTTTTACCCGCTTCACACACACACACCCCACACACACACATATATATATACACATTCACACACACATACACGTCCTAAAACACAGGCAGACAGGCAGGCAGCCAAACAATCACTTTGCTGATATGACTACCACTAGCTGCCAGAAAGTGTATAAAAATGGGCCAAGAGTGGACATTCCCTTTGATTTCTCTCACTTTGTGTGAAGTGTCTGGCTTTTATTGCCCATCACCCTTGATAGATTCTCTGTGATTAATAATGCTGCTTGTGAAGAAATTCTAGTCACAAACCCCCACAGTACACCAATCCAGCACCATTTCTTTAGGCAAATGATCTGCTGGTGATTAATATTCAAGTTACATTGGGTAAGAATAGAGAACTTGTGCATCATTGTTGTTGAGGAACTATTCATGTTTCAAAATGGTTAAATCTGTAAATTTTATTCTTGCTTCAAGAAACTCATTATTTTTGTATGTGAGGGGACTGATTGGCAAAAGAATCAGAAGGGAGTTCTCAGAGGGAATGCACTGCCTGAAAGGGTGGTGGATGCAGATATAATAATAACTTTCAAAACAGAATTGGATATATATTTGAAAAGGAAACAATTTCAAGTTTATGGGGAAAGAGTGGGAGGAGTGGGACTAATTGGATAGCTCCTTCAATGAGCCAACATAGGCACGATGGGCCGAGTGGCCTCCTGTGCTGTAAGATTCTATAATTGGTAACAATAGGCTTCAAAACCATAGCAATAAGACAGTATTAACCTGAGAAGGGAAGAGAGCCAAACTAAAGTGATGCACAAGGTTTTATTCTTACCTGCACTAACATTAGAATATGTTTCAATTGCCGTTATGCTTTTAGTGTCACTTACTTAATAATTTACTTAGCCATTTAATTTGTGCAGTTTCTTGCACTATTATGACCTTTTCTCAGTTTGCCACTTTGCAAAAATTAAGAAATGTATCAAACATTGATTATTTTACCTTAAATACATTGTGAAGTATAATTTAGTATGCCAATTTGATACTAAAATGTTTAAAAACAGTTAAGTGTACAAATTACAGTAAACTGCACTAATGCAGCATTGAAGGAAATATAAATATTGCTGGTATATGAATAATTTTAAAACAGTGTATCATGGAATTAAACTCCAACCAGACCTTATCTATACATCAGCATTAATCCAGTCCATGATTATAACTCAGCAATTCAGACTCAGCACCAAACAGTTCTTAAGACTGTCCGTAACACAATGGCAACTTGTTCATGGTTTGACTTACTGATCTTAGATGTTTGTAGCTGCTTTGGTTGTCATAAAGGCCATCAAGTGCTTTGGCTTCTATGATAAAAGTGTAAAGTTTCATTGGTTGATATTTTCGGTTGAGTTGGCAAAAGGATGATCGGGTTATGAAGAACTGGCTCACTTGGATTTGTATGCCAGCCACATAAGTCACGTGTACCACAACTGTTTAGAGTAAATTACATTGCAAAAAAAATACTAAATGTTAGAAAAATACTGTGCAGATGTATTATCAAAGAAGTCATCCACACTGTTGAAGTCACTGTTTAAGTGGTTGATAACAGTGATCAACAGGGGATTAGGGCAGTTATGCTGTTTGTTTGTTTATACTGTCCATGGAAAAGGGGGTTTGGGATGCTACCATTTTTGCCTGTGTTGACAAACTGCACTCACAGAAGCATTGGTTGAAAACATCACAAGAAATGGCAGGCAGACTAGTGCCAGTTAAAAAATAAACCATTTTACAATTCATACATGTAGTATAAAAAAGCCTAAGTGCTATCAACATTAAGTCTAAAACAAACATTCCAAGTGCTTTGTTAGCTGTATTAAAAATAAGCCATATAAGAAATGTATTATATTTAACACAGCCAACCCCTCTGAAAAAGTATCCCATTCTTAAGGACAAAGGTAAAATGAAGCAAGTTTTTTTTGTGTATTTAACCACTTTTGTCCAAAACTCTGTCAGAATTTTCCGAAGTCATGTAAATATACAACCTGCGGGATATATCTGGTCCAATCCTTCGGTCGACTCGTTTCCCTCCAGCGTTCACTTTAATTTCAGCTAGAAGATTCTGTTTCTCCCACTCTGTGAGACAATCCCTATAAGCCTGCAAATGCACAAACATTTCAAACATTCAGTGCAGGTTTGATTGAACAGTTGGTTAGAGTTCAACAGTTTTCCTCTTCTTTGGCACATGGTTTGAAATATAATTGAAATGTGCATGTTCTTGACCAACAGCAGACGTCCAATAGATATCATGAATATCCAGCCTAATGGCATGGCCTCTTTCTGTTCTTAGGTCTTTTAATTACTCAGTCAACGGGGGAGCTATCCAAAGGGACAATCCAGTAACCTCTTTAGAATGGCTACAGTATTGGATAACACTTTAAGAGGAAATAAACAATTAACTGGAAACCAATGAAAGAAGACCAGGGATTATAAAAAGGGTTTCTTGCGGAGAACAATTAGTGCGCGTTTACAGTTGACGAATTTTTGAGCTGAGAATAAAATAGTTGACTTCTACACCTGAGTAGAATAAAGTGATTGATGCAATAATGTAAAGAAATGGCTGATCATAATAATCCTTGCGTTACATATAGCACCTTGCACACTGGGAGAATATCTCCAAATGCTTCACAGGTTATTACTGAAAACTGTAGTAGTGATTGTGTGTAGGCGAATGCGGCAGCCAATTTGCACACAGCAATGGCCCACAAACAGCCATGAAATGAATGGCCAATTTTATTTGTGGGATTTTTTGCTCAGACAACGGGACAACTCCCTTCTGTTTGAATAGTGCTGTGGTGTTGTCAATGTCCACCTGGACAGGCAGAGGGAACATTGGCTTAACATCTTATCTGAGGGTTGGTACCTCTGACAATGTAGCGTTCCTCCAACACTGAATTGGAGTGTCAGCCTAGACTGGTTATATAACCTTGTTCATCATTGAAATGTTCAGCTCCCTTTTACCTGTAAAAGCAATTTTGGAGTGGGGTACGCGTCTGCTATAGCTACTGCTACCGGCCTCGTAATCCTGTTGAGTTGCTGCAGCTGTTTCTTCCACAGCTTCAAAAGGCCTTTTCCATCCTTGTCCACCTTCACACCACTGGACCAGGTGCCATCGGGACAGAAAGAAAAGGTCACGTTCTCAGTGTGTTTCCTAATATCATAGTTTTCAAAAGAGAAGATCCATGTCAAAACAAGTCCTTTTCCAAGTCACTGCTGTAGCTTCTCATCATAACTTCCAACAAAACTATTCCAAATGAAATGCAACATGCACTGATTCCAAAACATTGTACTATAAAGCTTTTCCTGAAGCAGTGCAGGGACAACTGGAAAGCAAACCAGCGCAGTATTACAAGTAGTGATGAACCCAAAATTCCAACTTACTGGTCACATGCAAGACAAAGCCTCTCAGTTGTGAACCAGATACTGGATGTAAAGTCACATCCGGATGGGGTAGGGCAGGGGTAAAGAATCATCATTGGTGTTGCTCTCTTGACTCCTCTTCAAGGAGAAGATCTTTAGATGATAAGAGTGATCCAGGACTTTATGTAGAAGATTCAACAAGGCTAGAGTTTTACATTACCTTCAACAAAATGTGCATGTGGAGGGATACGGCCCAGATTCATCAAAATGATACTGGGACTTATAGAGTTAAATTATGAGGAAAGTTTGCATAAACTTGGTCTCTATTCCCTTGAGGGGTGATCTAATTGAGATGTTTAAAGTGATAAAGGGATTCGATAGGGTAGATATAGAGAAACTATTTCCTCTGGTGGGGAATCTAGAACAGGGCTTAAAAATAAGCTTAAGATTAGAGCTAGGCCATTTAGGAGTGAAATCAAGTAGCATTTATTGGGTAGTGGAAATCCAGAACTCTCTTCCCCAAAAGGCTATGGATGCTGGATCAATAGAAATTTTAAAAACCAAGGTGGATAGACTTTTGTTAGATAAGGTTATCGAAGGATATGGAGCAAAGGTGGGTGAATGGAGTTCAGGTACAGATCAGCCATGATGGAATGATGGAACAAGCTCGAGGGGCTGTCACTATCCTAGTGACATAAATTTATGAATCGTGAACTCTCCCTCCTTCAAATTAAACCTCCAACCAAACTTTACCCTATTATGTAACTGAAGACCAGAAATGGCATTTCTATGATTTTGAATGATTTGAACTGTTGCCATTTGCCTTGTGTACTTGGGAGAAAAGGTCTACAGAAGTGTCAACAAAGCAGCTCTCACAGTTTTATAGGTGGACAGGTCATTTTCAGGGTGGATGAAAATGAGACTTCAACTTGCGCAGTGTGTTTTAAATGTGAATGTTATTGTGGGCAACGTGACTCGCTGATATCCACTGTGACACCTACACTGAGAAAGTTAAATGTAACTTACTTGAAAGGGGCTTGAGCTATTGCCTTTGTGAGTGTTGCAATATAACCGGCAAACTTGTGCCAGTCCTCTAAGAACCGAACCGTTGTGTATGTTTGTAGCTGTAGAGCTACCTGCACCTGAACACAAAGCAGAGAAACAGGACAGGCTGGTGAGGGTCAGGCCAAACGAGACAAGAGGCTGCTGTCACTTACCAACGCAAAAAATGGCTTACATAAATGTAACCGATTATACTCCTTGTGGGTTACGTGATGGTTCAAGTTCCTACTCAATTTGCAGCTTTTAATAACAAAACATTTGATACAATGCCTTTCATATTGGGAGGAACGTCTCAATGCACTTCACTGGATATACTGTAATGTGGAGTGACTGTGTCTTTTGAAGGTGGACGTAGTGTACAACAATAGGTTCCTATAGGAATATCTATTCCAAGCAGACTCTTCTTAAAGCAGGTCATACCTGTGATTACTTCTAACCTATAAATAACCATGAAGAGAAAGACCAGTTTTATCTGGGGAATTGTTGGCCAGGTCTTTCTGGGAAACTCTCTTCTCGAATAGTCCCATGGAATCTTTAATGTCCACCTGAATAGGCAGACGGGATAACTAGCAGATAACTGGAAGGAATTTGGTTACTGTCTTAATGTCTTATTAACAGATGGCCCCACATGTTTGGAAGTGTCAGCCAAGACAATGTGAACTCAAAGTTCCCACCCTGGGGCTTGAAACCACAGCCTTCTGACTCAAGGCAAGAGAGTGTGCTATGGACTGAGTCAGTCTAACTCACTTTGCGATAGTTTCATATTAGAATATTTATTTATAACTGGAGTTTGAAGAAACAAACATGTTGTCAAGACAATCTTTATGTCTGTCTCATAAATGGCAATCTCTCTCCTTGTGTCATGGATTCAGTTTGTGAGTGTTCCATAGGCAGCAGCAATTATTCTGAATTGTCTCAAAGGCGTTTCTTCATGGTTAAGGCTAGACATTGAGCTGTGGCAGACTGTGCCCCTGGGCAGGGATGGCAAACATTTTTGGTGATCTTTCCTTTGCTGAGCTGGAGATGCTGGAGAATGGCTACTACCTGTTGAAAGTCCACCCCAGCCTGAGTCCATCCAGGGAGTCTGTGAGCTACTACATGAGGGGAGTGGAATTTGTTGGGAAGTTTGTGTTTTTAATCAGGGTTTCCTGCTCTTGACTCAGGGATCATTCCTGTCAATGCACCAATGTTTTATTTCCAAGTAAAATACTCCTGAAATTGCATATATAAATATGTACATATTCCAATCCAGTAAGTCAGGTTCAAAGTGCAATGCTGAGAAACCACCCATTGTAATGTAGGAGTGAGAGTGAATACAGACCTCATTCACATCTGCGCACGTCAAGCCAAGCTCCATGCTGACCCAGGACTCCGAGTCATCCTCCCGGCCACTGTCAGCATTCTGCTGCATTTTCACAGGACTGCACTGCTCTTCTGGGCTAAAGCATTTGAGTAAACAAAAAGCATTCAAGATCTAGAACTTGTGATTTCACGTAATATATTAAATATAAGGGGCTCAACTCCAGGTCTCCCTAAAGCACTGCTGAGGGCTCAAAGAGACAGAGAACACATTGGATTTGTTTAATATATTTGCACGCACAGATGTGGCCCTTTAAAATGTCTACAGATGTCTGTACAAATTATAAAAAAGAGTTCCAAACAATATTTGAACTTGTTGAAAGGATAATTATATTTTCTTCTATTCCCATCGTTGTTTTCCAGATCACTTAATTCTCCCCAGATATTCTGTAAAAGCTACTGGGAAATGTATTAGACCAATCCTCCTTCACCAGCTCACTGCCCCTCTCTCCCTCACCTGCTCATTGCTCCTCTCTGTGGAAGTAAATAACTATTAATGACATACTCAGTCTCTTGTCGATTTTGATTGACACCAAAGAGTTCTCTTTCCTCCAGCTCCCCACCCCCCAACCCATGTCAATAGAGACTAAGACTGTTTATTCTGTCATCCATTCAACTTCAGCCTTATGGGTTTTCTAACCAACGGAAAGTCACAAACAAATGAGAAAAATATTGCACTTTTCAATTCATTTGGACTATCCCTGATTTTAATTTGTTACTTTATTTCTTAAAGCACAAACCAGTTCCATTCAACAACAAGAAAATTACATTTATAGAGCACCTTTCACGTCGGGAGGACATCCGAAAGCGCTGAACAGTCAGGTGTCGGGGCCCAAGCATGGGGGAGGGGTGGTGTAGAGGTGAGGGAAGGCAGAGAGGTGGGAGGGAGACCAAAGGCACAGTCGAAGAGAAGCGTCTTGAGACCGGCCTTGAAGGAGGCGAGGGAGAAAGCGAGGCGAAGGGACCGTGGGATGGAGTTCCAGAGTGTGGGGGCAGAGGCTGAAAACCCGGTAACCAATGGGACGTAATCAGTGTCGATCACATCACATTAACAATGCAGATTCAACAACTCATCACTTCTTTTTGTGACTTAAGAAGTCCATCTTCATATCAATTTAATCCAAATGCAAGTTCAATGAAAACTTTCCCTTAAAACAGATAAATAATAATAACCCTTACATTCAATATAGCGCCTAATCATGTGGTTGCGACATCTCCAAATGCTTCACAGAATATATTGTAAAGTGGATTGACCGTGTATATTGTGGGCAAAACGCAGCAGCTAATTGCACACAGCAGCGTCCCACAAACAACTGTGGATTGAGTGACCAAATTATTATTTTTTGGAGGATTACTTTGGAGAGTGATCCGCTAATCAACTAACAACCGGATTCCTACGTACTGCTAGGTAAATAGAGGCGTGTGGTGAAGGAATCTTTGTATAAGGTTATAAGGTCTGGGAATCGAACCCGGGTCCTCTCGCTTTTTTTCTGGATCGGTGTTTATTCTGTTCAAATTAAGGACAGATGAGAGGCTGCTGAGGGCAGCAAGTGGATCACTGAGTGTGGATCAAGGCACACACAGAATTTGACTTTTACCTTGTGTAAGCATCCAGCCCAATGACAACAAGTGTGGCTCTCTTCTCAAGCGGCTTCTCCAGAATTGTCATCCTAAAGCTTTCGGAGCTGTCACCTATATTTTGGCCTGAATTCCCTTTCAATTTCTGTTGAGAGAGAGAGAGAAAATATATCAGATTTTTTTAGTTTTTAATCAATCCTTGAAATAAGTCGTGGTTGAAAGCTTCAGGTCAGCTGGCTCAGGATAGAGTAGTGATTGCATAAATATTCTGCAGTTTTGTTTGTGAGTCGTTTTAGCAATTAGGACACATTTATGCTCAATTTACCCCCAAAAAAGGTGGACAACATTGTACGTGTGTGTCCAAGATAGGAGCAGGTGGTACAAATGTCTGTTTTTCTTTCCGTGCTTTCTTTACATACAACAGCAACTTGCACTTATGTAAGATGTAGGATAGTGTCCTAGAGCGCTATACGATGGGGTCGAATGCAGATCAAGAGGAAAAGACAATGTAACTATAAGAGTGGGTAATATTTTAGGTAGGGTTTAAAGACAAGCAGAGAGGTAGAGGGAAGGAGATTTGTTGGTTAGAGGCACAGTACCTGAAGGTTTGTCACTGATATTGGCGTGGAGACAGTACGGGACCCACAGCAAGCACAAGGCAGCAAGCAGATTGTGGAAGCAGATCAGAAAGATAGGAAGATGCTGGGGTGTGAGGTGAGGAGCTTAAAATCGACCCACTGAGTGATGGAGCCTGTGGTGATGAGTGTATGGAGTGCATGGTTCCATGGAGATGCAACCCATAGAGTTCTGGATGAGCTGTTTTTTTGGATGGTGGAGCTGGGAGGGGGTGAGGGAGGTGCCTAAAGTGTGAATAAGGGTTTCGGAGGCAAGTGAAGTGAAGGGGAAGAAAAGTGGTCTTGGTCAGGGACTGAACAGGAGGACAGAAGGAAGGGAAGAGCTGAGGATTAAACTGGACAGCAAGCCTGCACACCTGTTTGGTGAGTTTGGGAGACCAGGGAGGCTGTGGAGGGCAGAGCCACAAGTGAGCAGATGTTGACGGAAGCACTTTGAGGCCACGTTCTGCACTGGAAGGCAGTAAGAAATTATCAGTGGTGTTATCTCCTAACAACTAGTTATAAAGCATAAACACAGAAGTCGCTGGGAACATGCAGCAGGTCAGGCTGCATCCATGGAGAGAGGAAAATGAGCTATCCTTTCAGGTCTATGACCATTTGCCAGAACTTCTGTGTTTATACCAGATTTCCAGCATCTGCGGTACTTTGCTTTTAGTTATAAAGTTTTATTGGGAGGATCCCAGGGTCAGTGTCCAGCCTGACTTCTGACCAGAAATGATTTACTGAAGTAAACAGAAGGAATATGAACTGCTTTGTTCACATCTTTTCACTTTCAGGGAATATTTTAACTTATTTATTGCGCAGATTGTTTTCAAATACACAAATAATATCAATAATATTGAGTTTTATCTTTAGCAAACAAGATATGCGAGTACTTTGTGAAGGGTATTTTAAGGAAGGAAAAGATTCTGGGAGAAATGACTGATCTGCTACAATGGATATTAAATTGTTGAATTGCTATATTTTTATTATAATAATAGTGCTTGCATTGGATATTTCACCTAATAACCTCTCAAAGAGCTTTACAAACATGTGACAATGTTTGCAACATTTACAATGCGATAAGAGTTTCAAGGAAATCATTTACTTAAACCCATTTGACAAGAAACAATTCTCCGCTGGAAACATAGCTCCTTCAAACCTTTTGGGTTTGACCTTTACCTGCTTGTACAACCACACCATGGTGAGAAAGACATGCGGAGAGAGCAGCACCACAACTTGATTCTCATCAGACTTGCGGATGTTTTCAACCTAAAACATAAATATTGCGAGTGAGTGGCACTCGCTGCAAATCAGATTCAATCAAATATTGTTTCAAAATACGCTACTGTTTCTGTAAAAATCGTGAAATACCCAAATGCTCTCTTCAGTGGGTCCTGGGGTAGAGCATTCCCCACATTCTGTGCCGTCAGAAGCTCCAAATAGCCAGATTGTGACAGTGGCTTAAGTGACATTACCGCACTCCCGCCACCCCCCCACTGAAACTGGCAAACCCGAGTTACTGTTTTCTGACTGTACCCGAACACCAGTCCTCTGCCCACCCCCTCACTCAGCTGGCTCAGGCCTGTTGCACATCCCTGACCCCCTCAACGCAACCACTGACAACGCCCCTAACCTCTGAACTCTCTGCCTCAATTCCTTTCATAATCTTAACACACCACTATCAGTCTCATCTCATCTCCAGAGAGTAAAGCGCTAAACCTCTCCATTCTTTCTTCATGGCTGTATTCTCTCATCCCTCGTAAATCTACACTGTACTGTCTCCAACCCTATAGTATCCTTCTTGTAATACAGCAACCAAAACTGTACAAGGTACTCCAAATGTGGTCTAACCAAAGTTTTATATCAATTGAACATGACCTCCCTACTTATACAGTCTATTGATTTTGGCAAAACCCATAAACATTAGTTACATTAGCAAACCAGACACACTCACCACATCAGAATGCTCAGACAAAATTACTTGAGGGATCTCTCTCCTCCAAGTGATACTGGAAGGAATTGCTTGAGGTTCAATACTATATTCCGATTCTTGTGACTCCAAGCCATCGAGGAGCACGTGGCCATTAGCATGTCCCAGTACAGCTGGGGAGACAACAGATACAAAACAAATTTACACAGCGCCTTTCACATCAGGAGAACGTCTGGGGACCTGAGCTGGGCATGAGAGCTAAAGGGGTGGGGAGGGGAAAGATGGCTGAAAGCGTGGTCAAAGAGGTATGTCTTGAAATAGACCTTGAATAAGATGAAGGAAGGAGCGAGTTGGAGGGACTCAGTGATGGGAGTTCCAGAATAAAGGCACAGAGGCCAACAGTCCACCTCCAATGGTGGAGCGGGTAGGGCGGTGGACACAAAGCTGTTGAGCGAAGAGAGAGGCCGGGTTGAAGAGATCACAGCGGTAGAGTGAGGCGAAACCGTGGAGGGATTTAATGGGGAGAACAAGGATCGTGAACTTGATCCCCTGGGGGATGGAAAATCAATGGAGCTGGGTGAGAATGCGAGTGATAAGGCTCGCGGAGCCTGGCACCAGACTACAGAGTTCTGGATAATTTGCAGTTTGTGTAAGGAAGAGCCGGGGAGTTTGTGTAAGACAGAGCTTTAATGTAAAAGTCAATTCTTTTTTTAAAAAAAATTAGGATTCGAAATCTCCAAATAGCATTTACCAACTGAAACCTTGTTCCTGCGAACGATGGATTATTCAAAATAGAGATCTGACTCTTTGCATCAGCTTTAACATCAGTAACAACGTATTACAATGTACGGCAATTCGTTTTTAAAACCAACTTTTATTTCAATGCATTTGTTACATGGGAACTGGGTGCTCAGCCCATTAGATCTGGGCTTGGCCCATTAGAGAAGCATAAATATAACAGCAGCACCATAATGCGCTCATTGGACACACACTGTGAGCCGGGGAAATCTCAGCCTGGCTCAGCTGGCGCCACGCTCGCCTCTGAGTCAACAGATTATGAGTTTAAGACCCGTGTTGAGGCTTTGAACTCAGTCCAGACTTTCCCCCAACTGGGGGGGGGTGGGGGGGCACTACATCTTCCGAGGTGCTGTCTTTTGAGTGAGTCTCCCGATGTGAAAGGCGCTATGTGTTGTTATGGATTCATAGATTTTCATAGAATGTTACGGCACAGAAGGAGGCCATTCGGCCCATCGAGTCCGTGCGGCTCTTTGACAGAGCGTCACCTTCACTAGCCCCAATCACCAGCTTTCTCCCTCTAACCCTGTAAACCCGTCTTCCCCAGATACCTGTCCAGTTCTCTCTTAAAAGCTGTTATCGAATCGGACTTCACTGCCCTTTCGGGCGGATCATTCCAAATTCCAACAACGCGCTGAGTGAAAACATTTCCTAACCTCCCCTCTGCGTCTTTTGGTAGATACCTTAAGACTGTGACCGCGGGTCACAGACACACCTACCAGCGGAAACAGCTTTTCCCTATCGCCTGTCGAAACCTTTCATGATCTTGAAGACCTCTATCAGGTCCCCGAGTAACCTATTGTTGAGCCAAAATCATAATACCATCTGTGCCTGACCAGCTGGACTTTAAAGATCCCACAGGAGGAGGGAGTCTCTCCCGGTGTCCTGGCCCACAGTCCCCCGATAAAATTGGTCACTCACTTCACTGGGGTGTTGCTGTGAGCAAATCAGCTCATTGTACACGAAACGTACTTGACAGCAATTCCCTGTGAAACTCTTTCGAAGGGGTAGGGCTTTCGAGGCGCTGGACAGACAATAGACCTGAGGTTGTTACTGTGTAAAGACGCCGGTGAGGAATTCTTCCCCCCCCCCCCATCCCTCTGTCTTGACCCCCCCTTTGCCCTCTTGTAGATCACGACTGAAGACCTTAATCTTACACCATGTTTACAGTCACCTCCTCCCAACCCCGGGCTCGGCGTCGGGCTCGGCCACTGTTAAGCGCTACGCGATGCCATCCCTAGTGAAGGGCGCTATATAAATCCAAGTTATAAATGCGGGCAGGGGCTGCGCGCGGGCGGGGGGCAGGGAGGGCTGCGTATTTGGGGGGGGTGTTGGGGAGGGGGCTGTGTTTTGGGGTGTGTGTTGGGGTGGGGGGACTGTGTGTTTTGGGAGGGATTGTGTGTGGGGTGTGTATGTTGGGGAGGGGGCCATGTGTGTTGGGGAGAGGGCTGTGCATGGGGCGGGGTGGAATGGGCTTGTTGGGGAGGGAGCTGTGTGTTGGGGTGTGTGCGTTGGAGGCTGTGTGTTTGTTGGGAGGCTGTGTGTTGGGGTGTGTGTTGGGGGGGTGGGGCTGTATGTGTTGGGGTGTGTGTCTGCTAGGGGGGTTGTATGTGTTGGTGTGTGTGCTGGGGGGTTGGGGGCTGTGTGTTGGGAGCGTGCTGTGTGTTGGGGGGGTGGGGGGCTGTGTGTGTTAGGGGGGGACTGTGTGTTAGGAGGGGTGGTGGGGGGGGCTGTGTGTGTTGGGGTGTGTGAGGGGGTGTGTGTGGGGGTGTGTGTAGGGGTGTGTGTGGGTGTGTGTGAGGGTGTGTGTGAGAGTGTGTGTGTGTGTGAGGGTGTGTGTGAGGGTGTGTGTGGGGGTGTGTGTGACAGTCATACAAAACATATGATGAGGTATCTCCAATTGCGTTTCAATTTAGTGTTCAATCAACCAGACTGTTTTGCTTTTGGTTAGGTTGTTATTTTTCCCTTTTACCCGCTTCACACACACACACCCCACACACACACATATATATATACACATTCACACACACATACACGTCCTAAAACACAGGCAGACAGGCAGGCAGCCAAACAATCACTTTGCTGATATGACTACCACTAGCTGCCAGAAAGTGTATAAAAATGGGCCAAGAGTGGACATTCCCTTTGATTTCTCTCACTTTGTGTGAAGTGTCTGGCTTTTATTGCCCATCACCCTTGATAGATTCTCTGTGATTAATAATGCTGCTTGTGAAGAAATTCTAGTCACAAACCCCCACAGTACACCAATCCAGCACCATTTCTTTAGGCAAATGATCTGCTGGTGATTAATATTCAAGTTACATTGGGTAAGAATAGAGAACTTGTGCATCATTGTTGTTGAGGAACTATTCATGTTTCAAAATGGTTAAATCTGTAAATTTTATTCTTGCTTCAAGAAACTCATTATTTTGTATGTGAGGGGACTGATTGGCAAAAGAATCAGAAGGGAGTTCTCAGAGGGAATGCACTGCCTGAAAGGGTGGTGGATGCAGATATAATAATAACTTTCAAAACAGAATTGGATATATATTTGAAAAGGAAACAATTTCAAGTTTATGGGGAAAGAGTGGGAGGAGTGGGACTAATTGGATAGCTCCTTCAATGAGCCAACATAGGCACGATGGGCCGAGTGGCCTCCTGTGCTGTAAGATTCTATAATTGGTAACAATAGGCTTCAAAACCATAGCAATAAGACAGTATTAACCTGAGAAGGGAAGAGAGCCAAACTAAAGTGATGCACAAGGTTTTATTCTTACCTGCACTAACATTAGAATATGTTTCAATTGCCGTTATGCTTTTAGTGTCACTTACTTAATAATTTACTTAGCCATTTAATTTGTGCAGTTTCTTGCACTATTATGACCTTTTCTCAGTTTGCCACTTTGCAAAAATTAAGAAATGTATCAAACATTGATTATTTTACCTTAAATACATTGTGAAGTATAATTTAGTATGCCAATTTGATACTAAAATGTTTAAAAACAGTTAAGTGTACAAATTACAGTAAACTGCACTAATGCAGCATTGAAGGAAATATAAATATTGCTGGTATATGAATAATTTTAAAACAGTGTATCATGGAATTAAACTCCAACCAGACCTTATCTATACATCAGCATTAATCCAGTCCATGATTATAACTCAGCAATTCAGACTCAGCACCAAACAGTTCTTAAGACTGTCCGTAACACAATGGCAACTTGTTCATGGTTTGACTTACTGATCTTAGATGTTTGTAGCTGCTTTGGTTGTCATAAAGGCCATCAAGTGCTTTGGCTTCTATGATAAAAGTGTAAAGTTTCATTGGTTGATATTTTCGGTTGAGTTGGCAAAAGGATGATCGGGTTATGAAGAACTGGCTCACTTGGATTTGTATGCCAGCCACATAAGTCACGTGTACCACAACTGTTTAGAGTAAATTACATTGCAAAAAAAATACTAAATGTTAGAAAAATACTGTGCAGATGTATTATCAAAGAAGTCATCCACACTGTTGAAGTCACTGTTTAAGTGGTTGATAACAGTGATCAACAGGGGATTAGGGCAGTTATGCTGTTTGTTTGTTTATACTGTCCATGGAAAAGGGGGTTTGGGATGCTACCATTTTTGCCTGTGTTGACAAACTGCACTCACAGAAGCATTGGTTGAAAACATCACAAGAAATGGCAGGCAGACTAGTGCCAGTTAAAAAATAAACCATTTTACAATTCATACATGTAGTATAAAAAAGCCTAAGTGCTATCAACATTAAGTCTAAAACAAACATTCCAAGTGCTTTGTTAGCTGTATTAAAAATAAGCCATATAAGAAATGTATTATATTTAACACAGCCAACCCCTCTGAAAAAGTATCCCATTCTTAAGGACAAAGGTAAAATGAAGCAAGTTTTTTTTGTGTATTTAACCACTTTTGTCCAAAACTCTGTCAGAATTTTCCGAAGTCATGTAAATATACAACCTGCGGGATATATCTGGTCCAATCCTTCGGTCGACTCGTTTCCCTCCAGCGTTCACTTTAATTTCAGCTAGAAGATTCTGTTTCTCCCACTCTGTGAGACAATCCCTATAAGCCTGCAAATGCACAAACATTTCAAACATTCAGTGCAGGTTTGATTGAACAGTTGGTTAGAGTTCAACAGTTTTCCTCTTCTTTGGCACATGGTTTGAAATATAATTGAAATGTGCATGTTCTTGACCAACAGCAGACGTCCAATAGATATCATGAATATCCAGCCTAATGGCATGGCCTCTTTCTGTTCTTAGGTCTTTTAATTACTCAGTCAACGGGGGAGCTATCCAAAGGGACAATCCAGTAACCTCTTTAGAATGGCTACAGTATTGGATAACACTTTAAGAGGAAATAAACAATTAACTGGAAACCAATGAAAGAAGACCAGGGATTATAAAAAGGGTTTCTTGCGGAGAACAATTAGTGCGCGTTTACAGTTGACGAATTTTTGAGCTGAGAATAAAATAGTTGACTTCTACACCTGAGTAGAATAAAGTGATTGATGCAATAATGTAAAGAAATGGCTGATCATAATAATCCTTGCGTTACATATAGCACCTTGCACACTGGGAGAATATCTCCAAATGCTTCACAGGTTATTACTGAAAACTGTAGTAGTGATTGTGTGTAGGCGAATGCGGCAGCCAATTTGCACACAGCAATGGCCCACAAACAGCCATGAAATGAATGGCCAATTTTATTTGTGGATTTTTTGCTCAGACAACGGGACAACTCCCTTCTGTTTGAATAGTGCTGTGGTGTTGTCAATGTCCACCTGGACAGGCAGAGGGAACATTGGCTTAACATCTTATCTGAGGGTTGGTACCTCTGACAATGTAGCGTTCCTCCAACACTGAATTGGAGTGTCAGCCTAGACTGGTTATATAACCTTGTTCATCATTGAAATGTTCAGCTCCCTTTTACCTGTAAAAGCAATTTTGGAGTGGGGTACGCATCTGCTATAGCTACTGCTACCGGCCTCGTAATCCTGTTGAGTTGCTGCAGCTGTTTCTTCCACAGCTTCAAAAGGCCTTTTCCATCCTTGTCCACCTTCACACCACTGGACCAGGTGCCATCGGGACAGAAAGAAAAGGTCACGTTCTCAGTGTGTTTCCTAATATCATAGTTTTCAAAAGAGAAGATCCATGTCAAAACAAGTCCTTTTCCAAGTCACTGCTGTAGCTTCTCATCATAACTTCCAACAAAACTATTCCAAATGAAATGCAACATGCACTGATTCCAAAACATTGTACTATAAAGCTTTTCCTGAAGCAGTGCAGGGACAACTGGAAAGCAAACCAGCGCAGTATTACAAGTAGTGATGAACCCAAAATTCCAACTTACTGGTCACATGCAAGACAAAGCCTCTCAGTTGTGAACCAGATACTGGATGTAAAGTCACATCCGGATGGGGTAGGGCAGGGGTAAAGAATCATCATTGGTGTTGCTCTCTTGACTCCTCTTCAAGGAGAAGATCTTTAGATGATAAGAGTGATCCAGGACTTTATGTAGAAGATTCAACAAGGCTAGAGTTTTACATTACCTTCAACAAAATGTGCATGTGGAGGGAGTGCAGCACAAATTCACCAGAGTGATATCAGGGCTTAAAAGGTACAATTATGAGGACAAGTTGCATAAACTTGGTCTGTATTCCCTTGAGTTTAGAAGGTTGAGGGGTAATCTAATTGAGGTGTTTAAAATAATAAAGGGATTTGACAGGGTAGATGCAGAGAAACTCTATCCTCTGGTGGGGGAATCCAGAACATGGGGCACAATCTTAAAATTAGAGCTAGGCTATTTAGGAGTGAAATCAGGAGACAGTTTGTCACCCAAAGGGCTGTGGAATTCTGGAGCTCTCTCCCCAAAAAAACTGTGGAAGCTGGATCCATTTAAATATTCAAGACTAAGGTGTTCTAAGATGCTACCCTGCATGGATGGCACTCTATAAGTGCAAGTTGTTGTGGGTGTATAGATATTTGTTAGGTCGGGGTATCAAGGGATATGGGGCAAGGACCAGTAATTGGAGTTGAGATACAGATCAGCCATGATGAATGATGGCGGAAAAGCTGAGGGGGGCTGTCACTATCCTAGTGACATAAATTTATGAATCGTGAACTCTCCCTCCTTCAAATTAAACCTCCAACCAAACTTTACCCTATTATGTAACTGAAGACCAGAAATGGCATTTCTATGATTTTGAATGATTTGAACTGTTGCCATTTGCCTTGTGTACTTGGGAGAAAAGGTCTACAGAAGTGTCAACAAAGCAGCTCTCACAGTTTTATAGGTGGACAGGTCATTTTCAGGGTGGATGAAAATGAGACTTCAACTTGCGCAGTGTGTTTTAAATGTGAATGTTATTGTGGGCAACGTGACTCGCTGATATCCACTGTGACACCTACACTGAGAAAGTTAAATGTAACTTACTTGAAAGGGGCTTGAGCTATTGCCTTTGTGAGTGTTGCAATATAACCGCAAACTTGTGCCAGTCCTCTAAGAACCGAACCGTTGTGTATGTTTGTAGCTGTAGAGCTACCTGCACCTGAACACAAAGCAGAGAAACAGGACAGGCTGGTGAGGGTCAGGCCAAACGAGACAAGAGGCTGCTGTCACTTACCAACGCAAAAAATGGCTTACATAAATGTAACCGATTATACTCCTTGTGGGTTACGTGATGGTTCAAGTTCCTACTCAATTTGCAGCTTTTAATAACAAAACATTTGATACAATGCCTTTCATATTGGGAGGAACGTCTCAATGCACTTCACTGGATATACTGTAATGTGGAGTGACTGTGTCTTTTGAAGGTGGACGTAGTGTACAACAAAGGTTCCTATAGGAATATCTATTCCAAGCAGACTCTTCTTAAAGCAGGTCATACCTGTGATTACTTCTAACCTATAAATAACCATGAAGAGAAAGACCAGTTTTATCTGGGGAATTGTTGGCCAGGTCTTTCTGGGAAACTCTCTTCTCGAATAGTCCCATGGAATCTTTAATGTCCACCTGAATAGGCAGACGGGATAACTAGCAGATAACTGGAAGGAATTTGGTTACTGTCTTAATGTCTTATTAACAGATGGCCCCACATGTTTGGAAGTGTCAGCCAAGACAATGTGAACTCAAAGTTCCCACCCTGGGGCTTGAAACCACAGCCTTCTGACTCAAGGCAAGAGAGTGTGCTATGGACTGAGTCAGTCTAACTCACTTTGCGATAGTTTCATATTAGAAATTTATTTATAACTGGAGTTTGAAGAAACAAACATGTTGTCAAGACAATCTTTATGTCTGTCTCATAAATGGCAATCTCTCTCCTTGTGTCATGGATTCAGTTTGTGAGTGTTCCATAGGCAGCAGCAATTATTCTGAATTGTCTCAAAGGCGTTTCTTCATGGTTAAGGCTAGACATTGAGCTGTGGCAGACTGTGCCCCTGGGCAGGGATGGCAAACATTTTTGGTGATCTTTCCTTTGCTGAGCTGGAGATGCTGGAGAATGGCTACTACCTGTTGAAAGTCCACCCCAGCCTGAGTCCATCCAGGGAGTCTGTGAGCTACTACATGAGGGGAGTGGAATTTGTTGGGAAGTTTGTGTTTTTAATCAGGGTTTCCTGCTCTTGACTCAGGGATCATTCCTGTCAATGCACCAATGTTTTATTTCCAAGTAAAATACTCCTGAAATTGCATATATAAATATGTACATATTCCAATCCAGTAAGTCAGGTTCAAAGTGCAATGCTGAGAAACCACCCATTGTAATGTAGGAGTGAGAGTGAATACAGACCTCATTCACATCTGCGCACGTCAAGCCAAGCTCCATGCTGACCCAGGACTCCGAGTCATCCTCCCGGCCACTGTCAGCATTCTGCTGCATTTTCACAGGACTGCACTGCTCTTCTGGGCTAAAGCATTTGAGTAAACAAAAAGCATTCAAGATCTAGAACTTGTGATTTCACGTAATATATTAAATATAAGGGGCTCAACTCCAGGTCTCCCTAAAGCACTGCTGAGGGCTCAAAGAGACAGAGAACACATTGGATTTGTTTAATATATTTGCACGCACAGATGTGGCCCTTTAAAATGTCTACAGATGTCTGTACAAATTATAAAAAAGAGTTCCAAACAATATTTGAACTTGTTGAAAGGATAATTATATTTTCTTCTATTCCCATCGTTGTTTTCCAGATCACTTAATTCTCCCCAGATATTCTGTAAAAGCTACTGGGAAATGTATTAGACCAATCCTCCTTCACCAGCTCACTGCCCCTCTCTCCCTCACCTGCTCATTGCTCCTCTCTGTGGAAGTAAATAACTATTAATGACATACTCAGTCTCTTGTCGATTTTGATTGACACCAAAGAGTTCTCTTTCCTCCCAGCTCCCCACCCCCCCAACCCATGTCAATAGAGACTAAGACTGTTTATTCTGTCATCCATTCAACTTCAGCCTTATGGGTTTTCTAACCAACGGAAAGTCACAAACAAATGAGAAAAATATTGCACTTTTCAATTCATTTGGACTATCCCTGATTTTAATTTGTTACTTTATTTCTTAAAGCACAAACCAGTTCCATTCAACAACAAGAAAATTACATTTATAGAGCACCTTTCACGTCGGGAGGACATCCGAAAGCGCTGAACAGTCAGGTGTCGGGGCCCAAGCATGGGGGAGGGGTGGTGTAGAGGTGAGGGAAGGCAGAGAGGTGGGAGGGAGACCAAAGGCACAGTCGAAGAGAAGCGTCTTGAGACCGGCCTTGAAGGAGGCGAGGGAGAAAGCGAGGCGAAGGGACCGTGGGATGGAGTTCCAGAGTGTGGGGGCAGAGGCTGAAAACCCGGTAACCAATGGGACGTAATCAGTGTCGATCACATCACATTAACAATGCAGATTCAACAACTCATCACTTCTTTTTGTGACTTAAGAAGTCCATCTTCATATCAATTTAATCCAAATGCAAGTTCAATGAAAACTTTCCCTTAAAACAGATAAATAATAATAACCCTTGCATTTCATATAGCGCCTAATCATGTGTTGCGACATCTCAAAGGCTTCACAGAATATACTGTAAAGTGGATTGACCGTGTATTTGTGGGCAAAACGAGCAGCAATTGCACACAGCAGTCCCACAAACAACTGTGGATTGAGTGACCAAATTATTATTTTTTGGAGGATTACTTTGGAGAGTGATCCGCTAATCAACTAACAACCGGATTCCTACGTACTGCTAGGTAAATAGAGGCGTGTGGTGAAGGAATCTTTGTATAAGGTTATAAGGTCTGGGAATCGAACCCGGGTCCTCTCGCTTTTTTTCTGGATCGGTGTTTATTCTGTCAAATTAAGGACAGATGAGAGGCTGCTGAGGGCAGCAAGTGGATCACTGAGTGTGGATCAAGGCACACACAGAATTTGACTTTTACCTTGTGTAAGCATCCAGCCCAATGACAACAAGTGTGGCTCTCTTCTCAAGCGGCTTCTCCAGAATTGTCATCCTAAGCTTTCGGAGCTGTCACCTATATTTTGGCCTGAATTCCCTTTCAATTTCTGTTGAGAGAGAGAGAGAAAATATATCAGATTTTTTTAGTTTTTAATCAATCCTTGAAATAAGTCGTGGTTGAAAGCTTCAGGTCAGCTGGCTCAGGATAGAGTAGTGATTGCATAAATATTCTGCAGTTTTGTTTGTGAGTCGTTTTAGCAATTAGGACACATTTATGCTCAATTTACCCCCAAAAAGGTGGACAACATTGTACGTGTGTGTCCAAGATAGGAGCAGGTGGTACAAATGTCTGTTTTTCTTTCCGTGCTTTCTTTACATACAACAGCAACTTGCACTTATGTAAGATGTAGGATAGTGTCCTAGAGCGCTATACGATGGGGTCGAATGCAGATCAAGAGGAAAGACAATGTAACTATAAGAGTGGGTAATATTTTAGGTAGGGTTTAAAGACAAGCAGAGAGGTAGAGGGAAGGAGATTTGTTGGTTAGAGGCACAGTACCTGAAGGTTTGTCACTGATATTGGCGTGGAGACAGTACGGGACCCACAGCAAGCACAAGGCAGCGAGCAGATTGTGGAAGCAGATCAGAAAGATAGGAAGATGCTGGGGTGTGAGGTGAGGAGCTTAAAATCGACCCACTGAGTGATGGAGCCTGTGGTGATGAGTGTATGGAGTGCATGGTTCCATGGAGATGCAACCCATAGAGTTCTGGATGAGCTGTTTTTTTGGATGGTGGAGCTGGGAGGGGGTGAGGGAGGTGCCTAAAGTGTGAATAAGGGTTTCGGAGGCAAGTGAAGTGAAGGGGAAGAAAAGTGGTCTTGGTCAGGGACTGAACAGGAGGACAGAAGGAAGGGAAGAGCTGAGGATTAAACTGGACAGCAAGCCTGCACACCTGTTTGGTGAGTTTGGGAGACCAGGGAGGCTGTGGAGGGCAGAGCCACAAGTGAGCAGATGTTGACGGAAGCACTTTGAGGCCACGTTCTGCACTGGAAGGCAGTAAGAAATTATCAGTGGTGTTATCTCCTAACAACTAGTTATAAAGCATAAACACAGAAGTCGCTGGGAACATGCAGCAGGTCAGGCTGCATCCATGGAGAGAGGAAAATGAGCTATCCTTTCAGGTCTATGACCATTTGCCAGAACTTCTGTGTTTATACCAGATTTCCAGCATCTGCGGTACTTTGCTTTTAGTTATAAAGTTTTATTGGGAGGATCCCAGGGTCAGTGTCCAGCCTGACTTCTGACCAGAAATGATTTACTGAAGTAAACAGAAGGAATATGAACTGCTTTGTTCACATCTTTTCACTTTCAGGGAATATTTTAACTTATTTATTGCGCAGATTGTTTTCAAATACACAAATAATATCAATAATATTGAGTTTTATCTTTAGCAAACAAGATATGCGAGTACTTTGTGAAGGGTATTTTAAGGAAGGAAAAGATTCTGGGAGAAATGACTGATCTGCTACAATGGATATTAAATTGTTGAATTGCTATATTTTTATTATAATAATAGTGCTTGCATTAGATATTTCACCTAATAACCTCTCAAAGAGCTTTACAAACATGTGACAATGTTTGCAACATTTACAATGCGATAAGAGTTTCAAGAAATCATTTACTTAAACCCATTTGACAAGAAACAATTCTCCGCTGGAAACATAGCTCCTTCAAACCTTTTGGGTTTGACCTTTACCTGCTTGTACAACCACACCATGGTGAGAAAGACATGCGGAGAGAGCAGCACCACAACTTGATTCTCATCAGACTTGCGGATGTTTTCAACCTAAAACATAAATATTGCGAGTGAGTGGCACTCGCTGCAAATCAGATTCAATCAAATATTGTTTCAAAATACGCTACTGTTTCTGTAAAAATCGTGAAATACCCAAATGCTCTCTTCAGTGGGTCCTGGGGTAGAGCATTCCCCACATTCTGTGCCGTCAGAAGCTCCAAATAGCCAGATTGTGACAGTGGCTTAAGTGACATTACCGCACTCCCGCCACCCCCCACTGAAACTGGCAAACCCGAGTTACTGTTTTCTGACTGTACCCGAACACCAGTCCTCTGCCCACCCCCTCACTCAGCTGGCTCAGGCCTGTTGCACATCCCTGACCCCCTCAACGCAACCACTGACAACGCCCCTAACCTCTGAACTCTCTGCCTCAATTCCTTTCATAATCTTAACACACCACTATCAGTCTCATCTCATCTCCAGAGAGTAAAGCGCTAAACCTCTCCATTCTTTCTTCATGGCTGTATTCTCTCATCCCTCGTAAATCTACACTGTACTGTCTCCAACCCTATAGTATCCTTCTTGTAATACAGCAACCAAAACTGTACAAGGTACTCCAAATGTGGTCTAACCAAAGTTTTATATCAATTGAACATGACCTCCCTACTTATACAGTCTATTGATTTTGGCAAAACCCATAAACATTAGTTACATTAGCAAACCAGACACACTCACCACATCAGAATGCTCAGACAAAATTGACTTGAGGGATCTCTCTCCTCCAAGTGATACTGGAAGGAATTGCTTGAGGTTCAATACTATATTCCGATTCTTGTGACTCCAAGCCATCGAGGAGCACGTGGCCATTAGCATGTCCCAGTACAGCTGAATAATAATCCTTGCATTTGACATAGTGCCTTATCACATTGTTGAAACGTCTCAAAAGGCTTTACTGAATATACTGTAAAGTGGATAAACCATGCATTTTGTGGGCAAAACGTGGCAGCCAATTGCACACAGCAGTTTCCCACAAGCAACAACAACTTGCCTTTATTTAGAGCCCTTTGTGCGGGGCAGAGACTGGGAGCAAACAGTCATGGATTGAATAAAAAGTATTTATTTATTGAGAGGGATTATTAATGACGGAAACGATCCACCAATCGACTAACAACTCGGTATCTACTAACACAAACAAAAACAGAAGTCGCTGGGAAAACTCGGTAGGTCAGGTAGCATCTATGGAGAAAGAAAAGTGAGTCAACGTTTCAGATCCAAGGCTTTTCGTCAGAACTTCATCAGAACTCACGACCCTTGAGTTCTGACGAAGGGTCACGGGTCCGAAACGTTGACTCACTTTTCTTTCTCCATGGATGCTGCCTGACCTGCTGAGTGTTCCCAGCTCTCTCGGTTTTTGTTTCAGATTCCAGCATCTGCAGTATTTTGTGTTTTGACTCGGTTTCTACTTACTGCTACTAATTGTCCAGCGCGTTTGGACGTGAAAGGCACTATACAAATGTAAATTTGTTGTTGTTGCCAGGCAAACAGAGGTGTGTGGAGTAAATTTCACCTTGCCTGGGAATTGAACCCAAATCCTCTCGCTTACGAGGCGAGTGCTCTAACCAATATGCTACAGGATTTATAATAATAATAATCCTTGCATTTGATATGGTGCCTTATCACGTCTTCGAGTTGCAAAGTGCTTCAAAGAATGTTCACTATCAAACCGTAGATCTGGAGAGTTGGGGTGCGTTAGCAAAACGTGGGAGCATGTGAGAGTAGGGACCCTAACAATGATCGTCCAATGGACATAACTTGCTCTTTTCAGGACCAAGCCGGTAAAAAAACATTGAGGAGTCCATTGAAATATTGCAGTGTGCAAAGTTGTACATTGTTGCAGGACTCAAATCCTACCTGTAGATCTCACCACTGTATGCAACACAGCAGTATCTTTTGCTAAGACAAAAGTATTACAGCAGATCAGCAAAACAGGACATCCTTATGATCTCTTTATTTTTCTTTGTAACCTGGCAATGAGATGGGCTCCAATCAACTTCTCAGAGTTAGTCCCTAAATTATTCTATTAACATAAGTTAGCTAATCCTCATCTTTGGATTTCTTCACGAACATAGAGCTGCACAGGACTGGTCTCAAGATTGATCACAAGAATGGGTTGGGTGAAGAAGGCTCTTTTATCTCATCCTTCCAGAATACCCTCCTACCATCTTCCCATCACAGCATCACCTTGTGTTTGAGTTGAATGCAAGATCCTGGCCTCAACCACCCTTCCTGGCAAAATGTTCCAGTTGTTAATTACCCTTTGGGTAATGGAATTCTTCTATCCTGAATCTAAACTTATGTTCCCTTAAATATAAATATACAGCATTAGTGTCACTAGTGCCCAGTTAATTTCACTTATCCTCTCTCTATTCTCCCCTTCCCTATCTGGAGATGTCTAGCCTCCGATGGGTCAGATGAGATCAGAAAAGTGGGGAGCACCAGTCCCATTCAGTCACTGCAGCACATTGGTACATTGATTTCTTCTGGTCCCAGTCTGCAATGCCCCAAATAAAATTGGTCAATCATTTCATGGAGAGGACAATGCTGTGTGAAAATTGGCTGCCACATTATCTCAAACAGAAGGATTATTATGTATTATATTGTGGCAATTGACTGTGTCAAATTAGCTGCCACATTCGCCTACAAATACACAGTCGTTACATTTTACAGTAAATCCTCTGGAGTTTTCTGAGATGTTTTGACAATGTGCTAAGGCGCTACATTGAATTTGATTGGGTATATTATTATTACAAGAATTATTATTATTGCATCAGAGAACTGTAACCAATGGTTGTATCTGTGCTTCCTTTATTGTTTTTATTGTTTTCAACAATTTAGAGGTGAAGATTAATTCAAACCATTCACCCTTCATTTGCAGGAACAAGACATGCAAGTGTGGAAGAGAAGTTTGAGTGACTTACACTATGCAGTAGCCTTTCTCAACACAGCCAACTATGGACCACCTACTACCTTCACAACAAACCTGTTCCTACTGCAGATTATGCACTGTCGTCTTGGTTACAACATCTATGATGTTTTTACCGATGAGCTTGTTGGACATTATAGAGCGGATGCGTGCTTTAGTTTTAGTGTGAATCCTACGGGGGTTATCTTGTTTTTTATCCAACCTCTTTGTTAACTGTCTGTTGTATTAAATGTGTATATCTGATAGACACTTGGAGAAATTAAGTTTGCTTAGT